GGAAATGTAAGCGGTGAAAAAATGTAAGCAATGTAAGCACTGGGAACATGGAGAGAATACTTAAAGGAAATTAATGGTGATGTTGAGGGAGTTAATTTCTTTTTTTTTAACCGACATGGATCAGCTTGTGACATGCTCCCAAGCCCATCTGCACCACAAAGCACTGAATGGAATAATACAAATATTTTACCAGAAATAAATCTAAAATTGCAAAAATCTCTCCCATTCCTCAGGTGACATTTTTCCAAAAAAAGTTTTATTTTTGATCAAATAAGGAAAAAACTAATATATTTCAAGCAAGTTAACAGCAGATGGCTCAGGACATATGAAAAAAACACAAGATGGGGTGAAGGAAATCAAGTACAAAGTCACTGACTAATTTGAAACCAGTCCAGGAATATCACTACATAGTGGCCAGCTCATTTGGTCTTCCATTTACATGCTAGACTTGACAAGTCTTCCTGACAGAATACCACTGCAAGAAAATGTGACTCCAACCAGGTTCAACCAGTTTGAATTTTCTCAACAGAAATGGATGATCCAAAGAATTTCCATCCAGCACTAAAAATTACAGATATTTTCCCAAGTCAGTCTCAGTATATTACAAGTTTTCTTTGCTTACAGTTTGGTCATTTGGTGAAATTAATGAAAACAGAAACACAAACAGGCTTAGAAATGTTAAAATTATCAATTTGTCCCTTTCTGAGGAATACTGTCCCCTAAAATAGACATTGAACAACCAGAATAAATCCCGTGCAGTAACTTTTTACTTACCTAACTGATCTCCTGTGGAGCCAGCTTCCTCATCTGTGAACTGAGCTACCTCACACATCCATTGGATGAAAGTTGTTAAATACTTCCAGTATGGGTTTTCTTCAAAAATAAAAAAAAATTCTTCAAGGGTAATATTAATTCTGAAATGACACAGAGAACCAGGTTGGTATGGTTAATCCAGTGATTAAGTTACAAAGAAAATTAGCTTGTGAATACATGCAGTTTCTCTGCAAACCTTTATCTAAACTTATTACTATTTAATGCATATGCACAGTGCTATTGGCTTCAGAAAATAATTGAAGCAAATAGGCCAATGTCCCTGCCACATTCCTTTTCCCATTTCTTTACTGAAGCAGCATAGTTATAACGCCACTTTAAGCACAACTTTATCACTACACAGAGGTTTTTGAGCAGAAAGAAATTCTAAAATGCCTTTTATAAGACATCAACAAGGTTCTCTTATTCAAAAGTAGCATTTTGAAATTGAAAACAATACCAAGAAATGCTGCTTCTTGTCCTGGGTATGCCTTTGCATTAATCAGCAAACAGAACCCCGCATAACAATAGCAATGCTTTTCTTGCTCCTCAGTGTTATTTAAATACAAACTTCTACTCCCAGGAGCCTCCTAGTTCTTTTGGTACTTCCAATGCTCATAAAACAAAATGTAAAACTACTAGTCTTGCTGGCAATTTCAAATGTACAAGAGGCAATCAACAGCAAAAGGGACAAAAAGTAATATAAATTTTCTAAGGTCTAAGATGTTATTAATATTTGTGGATTTAATCCCTGCTGCCAATTCAGTTCATGGAATTTGATCCATGACAGATCCTTGACTTAATGGTATCATTGCTTTTGTAGTAAATTCCTCCATTAAATTTCTCACACGTGTCAGTAGTCCAGGCAAATTTGTGAGAAGACAACTAAATTTGTGATCTTGGACATCTTATCACAGTAAACATAACTCCACATTAATGGCATGATGCTCATGCTTCACATAGCTAAACAATAATAATAATATCCTATTTTATTTTAAAGCAATTTATTGATATAGAGATTTATTTATAATCAACAGAGGCTTAACCCTATTATCTATTCATTTACTCATTATAATACGTTAGTCCTTGCTGGCATCAGTAGCTTTATATACATCTGAGAGATACATACAGTGAGAAGAGAAGCTGTTCCTCACAAGAGCTGAAATGGACATCCTCCTCTGCGCTCAGCAATGGATCAGTTTCACAGTAATAAGCATAATTTTCAGCTAACTCTTCTTCTATTTCTTGCCATCCCAAATAATCATCCACTATTGAATCTGGCAGGTTCTGTTGTCCCTGAGTTACTTTCTGCAGAAGCAGGACCTTTCACGGTAAATAGAGCAATAGTGTGAAACCAGGAAAAGGCAAGCTCCCCTGAGAGTTTAGTCCTGATTTTTGCAACAGTGTTCTTGAAATCCAACATAAAACACATTTAATGTTGCAGGGTTTCAAGTCTTCCTTTTCCGGAAACCACAGCTACATAACTTATCTAAAACATCACATTCACCCTAAAGGACCACAAGTACTTTTCCCCCAGACACATTCTAATCAGTTTAAGTAATCATTAACAGCAAACACTAAGCAGCAAGATATAACCCTTGTTAATTTATGTCATTTTGTAATCCCAATATAAATAAGGCACTGCAATCAGTGAAGAATTTAAACAAGAAGAATTCAGAAATACTTACAGCTTCCCTTAGTGACTGGAGCTGATTGCTTTGCTTGAAAGCCACCTCCGAGTCATTGCCAGTGCACATATATATGGCTAAATTATCAGTGGTATCAGAAATCTGTGGATGCCTGAGGGCCTTCCCAAATATTGTGAGCACATCATCACGGACATAGGAAGAGTTGCTCATCAACATCTAAAACGTAGTAAATACACTGCCACTTTAAAAATGCATTAGAAGATAAAGTAACAGATTAATTAACACTCCATTTTAACTTCTCACAATTGAATATAAAATTTAAAAGACCAAAAGAAGTACAAAGTCAAGCTGGACTAAAATGCTGAAGAATGAGAAGTTAGATACTCTACTTAGCAAATACTATACACCCCCAAAATAACCCTGTGCAACCTTATGAGAGCTAATATACAGACATCAAATGACAGCATACCTGTTTTAGCTCCACAAAAAGCTTTTTGATGTCCAGATGAACAGATTCATTTCTCTGGGTAAAAGGAATCATTTTCTCCAGGCTATGTAAAGCTTCTGTAAAACAGTTCCCCATCACCACATACAAAAAATATGTAACCTACAGAATGATTCAGGGGTAGGAAAGTAAACTATACATGACATGGTTTGAAAAACAGAGCAGTTGGAGAGACAAAAGTTCCAAGCCGATTAAGATTATGTCCTAGTCCAAAGCACTCGATCATTTTTCACAAAGCAAAAACATAGACACAATCTGCTCTTCTGAGGATTAAAGACTGTTCTCCCCTCCTGCACCCCCTTACTGGAAAAGGTTCAAGACACAGCAGGAAGACCAGTACTATTACACCAGCAAAGCATGACCTTATCCTCCTTCACAGTAGAGTCGCTCCACTGACTTCAGCAAGCTTTCATGATTTTCACGAGAGGAAATTGTGGTCCCATGCAGGCTTCTTGTTCTTAATAATGTAAATAAATTTGGACACTTTCCATACGTAATTACTGATTTAGCTAGCAAATTCTTTTGAAATTGCCTAATTCCATAAGCACCAAGCGAAGCTGTAATCTCACTCAAGTAAAAGACTTGAGAAGAAATCTCAGAAATGTTAGGAGTTCATTTTAGGGCCTGCCAAAACCAGTAGCCCAGTAGTTGCAAGACAGCCACACACATGCAAACACAGCAGATCGCTGCAATAACTGCCTTTGGACCAGTGCAAGTAACGAGTAATCACCATGCGTCTTTACCGTCAGTGAAGTTTAAATACTGTGATACTACGTTCCTCAGAGCTCCGTCTGCCAGACGTAATCTCTTCACAACAGACCACTGAGGCACAGTCTGCAGCACAGCCTGCATCTTCTTCAGATATAGGATTCTGCAAACAAAAGAAGTTTGGAGTACAAAACTGTTGCGTGCCATAAGTAAAAAAGTAAAAGTTGCTGGAAAATTGTTATTTATTACAGTGTAGACCTTCTATCATCTGTATCTTCTTATAAAGCAGCAGTATAGAAGTTTCCTTGTATAAAAACAACTAAATTCCAAAACATCTGGTAACTATTGAACAATTTGACTGCAATTCTCTCTGAACACTAGATTATGGATTTTATAAAAGCCTTGGCACACTAAGAAAGGAGCAAAATACCAAAGAACCCTTCTAACTTGCAGCAGTCACTGATCATTCTCCCAAGGGAGGAGTGCAGCTAGTTTCAATGAACAAGTCTACTTCTCTCAGACTAATTTCCCTAAAGGATGAAAATTTTAATGCAAGAAAAGATTTACACACAATCATCTCCTTTCCTTCTTTTCACAGCAAAACATGGAAAAGTTTTCCACAAAAAGAGTTCATTTTCCATCAAGTCACTTACTGAAATTAAAGAAAAAGAGGCACTGGTTGCTATTCCATTAGAGACTGTTTGGTTATAAAATCCTGTGCTTAAATCTCACATTTATTTGCATGCTTAGGAAAGATGCTGTTCTATTTTTCTGCATAGATATTTTTGAAAATGGAAAAAGAACTATGCACAATTTGTAAGTGAATTAAACCAGCAATAAATCCACAAAACCAAAGGTTGTGTGATCGCCTCCTACTTGTCGGTGTGCTGTACAGAAGCTCTTTATATCTTTCAGATTTATCCTCAAACATGTAGCATTACATTATAATTCTGTTCTCCATAGTAAGCTTCTGTTCAAGATCTCCTTTGAAAACTAACAAGTACAATCCCTACAACAAAAATCCAATACAATTCTGATGCACTGGACTTGTTATGTGTGAGTAGATCAATCCTACAGCAGACTTGCATGAGAAACATAACTGAGTCACAGCAACTATTTGTGGGAATTAGACTCTGTAAAACAAAGTAAAGCATTCAGACTCTAATTCATCATGCTGCTTGTTTCTATGAGTTTGGATAACGTACCCTTTAAAGTAGGAATACTCTGAATCACAGATCAAATTTCTTTTTCAGAACATATATGCATTAAAGCAATAAAGATAACTATAACTTACAGATCATGAGGTGAAATATATTCTTCTGAAAAATAAGCCTGTGATTTCTTATCCCATTCCCAGATCAGGGTACGTATTTCTGAGACAATTTTCCTGGCCTCTTTGTCTTCTAGAAGCTGAGACATTAAATCAGCCATGATTTTTTCAAGTTCTGAAAGAAGATTCTGAGAATGGCTGCTAGTGAACCATTGCTCAAATACCTAAAAGATTGAAGGCAAACCAGAACACACACTGTTAGAAAAATCATAGCTTGGTTATTTAGACAATACACAGACTTTGCATGCTTTTTGTTGGGTTTTTGTTGTGTGCCTTTGTTTCTTCAATAAAGGGGGAAGCCCCATCATTTTGAGTGTCCCATTACACAAACAGATGGAAAAGAAACTTCCATGCTCCCATTGTGTAGCCTAGAAGAAGGCCCATCAAGGCCTAGCAAAGCCCTTAGACTGGTCTCATATTCTGCACCATTATCCTTCCTAAGTGCCCAATGGTTATAACAGAATTTTGCTGTAAAATACAACCAGCTCACAAAGGGAATTCCCAGAGGCCAACAGCTGATAGTACTTCCTTATGATAGCAACATCACCTTGCAAACAGCTATAGACCATGTCTGAAATTATTACCGGATGGCTAAAATAGTCATTAGTCTTGGCAACCACATTAAGTGATGATTTTGAGTCATCATAGACCAGTACAACTTTTATCAAGGGAGAAAGCGAAGGCTACATTTTTAAAGAAATTCCAGTTCTACAAGCTTCTCTATGGAGACAATATTGCAAAAATTGCAATAGAGCAGTTTAATATACAGATAGCATTTTAAAAAATGTTTTAAAACAAAAGAGCAGTAGTGTTTTCCTTAAGGAGCACCTGTCACCATAGAGATTGCATGCCCTGCTGTTTTGCCAGAGCAGAATTTGAAGATGCTATCCTGGAGATTTACTCTTATTTGCACTTCAGCGCACTTGAGTCACTATTGCCTGAGACAGTGGAGGAGAATTAAAAATTAATACTATATTCCACTTTCAGTTTTGCCCAAATATAGGCTCAGGTGAGACAGTAAATTGGTTTTCCTTCTGTCAGAACTCCACAGCAGCATATGTTTCACTATACTCCCTATTCAATCTCAATCCTGCATTTCAGTTAATGAGTCAATGAGAAAATCTGATTAAATTACCACATGGTAATGGATTACACTTCTACTGTAACAGTTATAAGTAACTGTTATTAATAACTTTCTGTTATTAGTAAAATGAAAAAAAAATGTTCATAGCAACAATATTTAATATCTAACTCAGATCCTTCAATAGAGTCACTGTTGACAGCCTACATGCAAAAATTAATAGATTAAATTCCTGAAGTCTACCTGTGCATAGAGTCTGAGCTTACTGACAGCATGGATGAGATACAGTTTGGCCTCTTGCCATGCGGAACTACAGCTTTCTTCATTATTCTCTCTGTTTGCTTCATATCCTGGTACACCAGACAGAGCAGAGCACACAAACTGCTCCACTGTTTCTTCTGTGGGAATCTGGCAGGGACACAAGAAAAGGATGAGTATGTCAGAGAGTTACCAAGTGTTACCTTTGCTATCAATTTACTTATCTAATGAAAAGGAACATCAAAGCTCATTTAATTCAGCTTAGTGTTCCTGAGTACCCCAAATGCAGAGCCTTGTGCAAAAAACCACAGCCCCATTACAGTTCCTGTGCACCAGGCAGAATAACAAGACTTGTTACAAGGAATTTTCATCCTGTACCTACATCAGTGTTGCAACTTCAACACCTGTGTTGTCTGTGAAATAACTTGACAATTATATAGCATACCTACACTATAATTTTGCGCGGGAATGATTATGTAGGAGCAACTTCACAAATATAAAAATTACTAATGTGTAAAATATTCAGTACACTGACACCATCTCAGTGATTATATACAGCAGACAATTTTTAAATTGAAGCTGGCAGATTTCAGCAATGTGACCAAGGGGACTGACCTTTCTCCTGATAGCCTGACTTCTAAATTCAGTACTGAAAGATTTATTTTTCTAGATCATATAAATTTTATGAGTGCTTTCTAAAATAATTTAATACATCTTAAATCTTCCTAATAGTGTCTTTCTGAGGTACTTTCCATCCTAACCTCTTTCAACTGTGACTAGAAGATGTACTGAAAGTTTTGCAGCTGTATTGACATCAAACCACCTTGGACATTAAGTGCTTGGATCAGGCACTGTCCAGGCTGCAGTACCTTTCCTCATACCTTTTGAGGGTCTTCAGAGCCCTAACACAGGCACACAATATGAAGATCCTGGCTTAACCAATAAATCGTTAATAACTGAGTGACCTGGGATTACACAGCCTACCATGGATAGCAGGCTGTTGTCAAATATTCAGTTGAGTTGACCACACTGGCCATCGGTGATATCATGAAAAGGCCATTCAAAGGGAGCTTTGTTTATTGTTGTTTATTCATTAATATAACTCAACCATTCATGTAAATTACCTGTTTTTATAATGAGCTGCTAGCAAAAACAACTTCAGACCACGCCTGGTAAAGAGCAAAGAGATTTCTGACAATTACCAGCATGCTCTATTCAAAGCTGGACTTTTGTAGAAATTTAACAGATGTTTCAAGTGTTCTGCAGATCAAACAAGAACAACACGGGAGATCATGTTGATCCGGGAGAAACAGAAAAGCCGTCTCTGAGACGAAATTTTTCCTTCAAAATTTGACACACCACTGAGACACCTCATCAGTCAAGTACATTCATATCAAGACCGCACAGCTAAGAAAGGGTACATCAACAGCCCTGATATAGACACAGAAGAGACAGGCATTCTTTGCTCAACAAAGATGAAAAATGCTGGCTGTCAAAGAATCCAGGCAACTACAGATCTAGGATGTATTTTAAAAGTTAATGGAGTAAGACATAAAATTCTTTGCAGGATTGGATAATAAGCCCAGGACATCACCATACTCAGTGGTAACTCCAGAAAAGCATAAATTTATTAATATGTATGACTAGATCCATCAGAACATTTGTGTATAGAAATTCTAGCTGATGCTAAAGATACTTATTTTGAAGGGAAATAAGATAGGGTTTTTAGTCTCACAGCTTCTTCACACCTTCAGAGTATCACCTACTTCCTCTGTAATTTCAGTAAAAACTTCAATTGTTTACACAGCTTCATTTCTTACAATCTAAAGATTTATTTTAGAACAAGTGATTTGTCAATAAAAGTGATAGTTATCTTGATTGTATCAGAAATAAAGTCATCACTGCAACTTCTATAAGGCAACACAATTCAGAGGGACAACTCAAAATTTAACATCATTATTAAAGTTTTTTGATTCAATCATTTGATTCTTCATATGAAAAGCAATCCCTTAGTCATAGATGGCTTCAAGTGATTAGTCATGCTGTTAGCTAACCATAATAGTGCAAATACTTGCTGAATAAAGATTAAAAAAACTGGATTCAAATTTAAAGAAGCTTGTCTGGTAACATTCAACCAAGTTCTTTACTTTCTGGTAGAAGTTATGCTTCTGCCTGTTTTTCAAATACACTATTATAGTTTCTGTAAGGCATGAAAAATGCCTTCAGGAATTGCCACCAGGAAATAACAACAGAGGAAAGAAAAACATTTAATTTTTCAAGTTATTTACCTTTGTTAATTGTGTTGTATAACTTAGAAGTTTCTTAACATGAAAATCATCAAAACCAAATCTGGATTCAAGTTCTTCTCTGACAGCACGTGGATTCCACAAAATATCCTCTAGAGAAAGATTATACTGAAAACCTGAAGGAAAAAAGATAAACATCTGTTAACATAATTCCTACTTTTTGGTCATGCTGGTTTTTGATAAATCAAGCTTCATGAGGTCCACAGATGATGTTTCCAGCTTCTGGGGGAAAAAAAAACCAAAAACGAAAAAGAAACACAAGCAATTTAACACCAATTTCAATAATTAAAGTCCCAAATTGTATTAGAAGCATAGCAAGGTCAGCTAATCTGATGATATCCACCAGCTCTTGATAGCATCATGAAGAGATGACCTTGCACAGTGACTGACAGCAGATCCAGCAGTTTGCCATTCTGAACTAGGTGCTCAGATACATGTAACTGCGCAAATGTGTGCTAATGAGCTTAAAATAAAGTACTTCTGATAGAGAGGGCACTAGGAGAACACCAGTTGCACTTTATAAACAGTTTTGTGTAAAAAGATGCTATTTCTGAACCTGGTGAAACAAATTACCAAGCATTTGCAGAAAGGGTATATCACAACTCTGCTGCGGTAAGAGGCATGAAAAAAAACCAAGTCATTTTGCATTACTTTCATTTTAGCTAGCTTTGAAACAGTCCTAGTGAAGACATGGGGCCAATGATATAATATGTACCCACCTCTCACACAGTCTTGTCTAGCCCACAGAAAAGCATGGCACTGCAGAATACCACTGTAATAAGAGCTAGACAGGTAGAACACTAAGGTCTGCCTACTTTGCTATCAGTATACCTGTTAATTGCACTACACGTCAGCTTCCTGGCATTAAACTTTCTTCATTCTCTTTCAGATAAATCCTGAACTACCATAAATATCTGAATGTTTGGTTATGAGCATATTGTAAACTCTAATTTTTTTAGTTTTATAAGCTCATAACACAATACAGTGAAAACATACTGAAGAAGCCACAGCTCTTCTAGCATCCTAATTTGGAGCTTCCATTGCACATTTGCTTTCACATAGGTTATATTTTTTCAAAGAGAGAAAGTTTTCAAAAAATCCTCCCAACATCAGGCTTTGAGTTTGCTTCTCAAAGAAGGATGTGTACAGGATACATACCAATCAGCTCACACAATTGCCGTAGCTGAGATGAAAGGAGCAAGTCAAAAATACTTGCTGGACACACAGACTCTGCTTTAAGAACAAACAATAGCAGTGACCTGTGCTTAGACCCAGAGAATTAAAGCCCACCCTCTGCACAAGGGCTCAAGCAAACACATTTCTACCACTTCAGTCTTGTTTCTGACAGTGGGAGCGGGATTTAAACCACATACAATGATTGGCCTGGATTTCTATGCAGAGCAGACAGTTGCAACCTGGTATCCAGTTGTGCTTCTCCAGACAGTTTACCAATGAAACTTGTTCCTAACATTATCTGGAAGAGTTGTCCTGGGCCCAGCCTACCTTTTCCAGTTCAACTTAATTCCTATAATCAGGCAGTAGATGAGGAAAATTGAGCCTCTCAGCTAAGATCAGAATTTATGATACCAAAGAATGAAGAAAAAAGTCAAACAGCCATAGCATTTAACATGCATGTCCAAAGCAAGTGACTATCCTTCTATCAAATGGAAGAGGTTGCTCTTTGTAGCGATTTAGCTTTTCTCCAAAACTCACCACTGAATGATCATTACATTCATGGTACATTATGTCATAAAAGTTGCCATGGTCTGATGAAATGTAATTATTAGCGTGTAGACAACAGATAAAGAAATGAGTTAGCACTGGAGCAACATAGTTAAATACTTAGACTTTTCATGTTAGGAGCTTAGCAGCAACTGTCTCAGTTAGCAGTATTATATATGATCCCAATATGCTTATGAGCTACTTTCAAAAAGAGAAAAAAAAAAAAAATCTGAAGCAAATTCCTTACCCTCCAAGCTCCTCTCCTGCACTGACGTAGCAGTTAAATTTAGAGTGATTTTCATCACTTCATGGAAAGTCTGTCCCAGTGGCATCACAGATAAATCTTTCAATGATACTAAGGTACTGAAAGGTAAATTAAACAAAAAAATCAAGCTCTCCATAAACACAAAACTGAAGGGGTTTGGTGGAAAAAGATGAAGCTCAAGGAGCTGAAAATTAAAATACATAGCCATTGGTGAAAAAAGTGAACTTCCATTAAATTATGTTTTTAAATCAAAATATCACAAGGTGAGATTTTACAGTAAGAGTTTCACCCACTTCTCATGAAGAAAATGAAAGAGATATATCAATGTTCTCAGGAACGAGAGACAGAAAAAGAAGGATATATGAGTTAAAATGAGAACCAAAAGAGATTGCTAAAACACCACGGGCATCCTTCCAGTCTACCCTGCAGCAAGACATCAGGATGGATATAGAATGCTTTTATTTCCACTCATCTGCAGAGAAAAAAAACATTTAAATCAACAGCACAAGTATTCTCACAGCAAATTAGAGCAAATTACAGAATACATTAATAAAAATGTTTCTGTTGAATTTCTTACAACTACCAGTTTCAGGCCCTTTAGCTGTTTATTTTTATTGATCCTAATGTAGCTGTAATTTACTATTTAAAGTTTATGTTAAACTTCTTAGTTATTTCCTATAATGTATTCCTCTGTTACTTTGCAAATAAAAATCCAGCTTTTTTAGACTGGATCAGCAGCTGTAGAAACGCTTCTTAAAGAAGTGAGAATAAACAATAACACTAAGTTACCTGAATAAGTGTGAAAAGTGCTGGAGCAGGACACATCTCAACCAGATAGTTTACTGTCCCCTCACAGGAAACACAAGGACAAATATATATGTGTGTGTGTATATATATATATTTGTAAGCTCTCAGATTGGCTTTTAGTAGTCTCTCTTTGTGGGCTACTGTCTGCTAAGTACCTCTGAGAGCATAAGAAAGATGGTATAGGGCAAGGAAGCAGGAGAAGTTGTAAATTTAGAATCCTGTGTGCTAACTAAATTCTGCCTGAACTAGGACCTCTGTCTAGAAATGTAAGTTAGAAATATGAGGACAGTCACAAGGCAAGCATTGTTTTTTGTGGTTTCATTTCCAAATGCTATTATTTATGGAAAATTCTGTCATTCAAGGGCACCAAACTGTAAAAAAGCCATAAAATAATAAATGAAAATAAAAAAACATAAGCCAAGTCTCCTGCCATTAATGCCTTGCAGACTGACCCAGCTGGCAGCAAGTACCCACACATCTGCTCATACCCTTCTCCCCACCTCTCACTCTGACCTTCCTATGAGCTCAGAGTAGAAGAAAGCACTGCTGAGATTATATGATCAGGTTAGCGTTTAGTGGTTTAACCCAGCACAGCAGACAATGGTTACTGTCATCTTTGGCCACTGCTGCTGAAGAAGATGAAAATGATAACCACAAGCTTACGGTCAAGTTTCTGTCTTAGGAACAGACTCTGAACAAGTTCACAAACCTTTCAGAAAGTCTTCTGCTTTGAGGGTATTGACCTGAGCCCAGCTATCCAGCCTGTCCAGATTCCTCTGCAGGGCCTTCCTACCCCCGAGCAGATTCCTGCCAGCTTGAGTTTGTGCCCAGTCTTGTACAGGCAGACAGGTTTGGTGGCCTCCTAAAGCCTTAACAGTCTGTTCACTGAATTCAGTGACAATTTCTTATCACCTATTACAATTACCTACTCTGGCAAAAGTATTTCTGACTTCAAGGTTTCCTTATTTCAATGAAAATTCCTGTAGCTCCTTTTTGTATTCCTTTCTTTTGATAGCATATGTCTCTCTCTGAATCCAACTGCCATTTACCTGAGGCAGAAACTATCACATCCAGAGTACAGTCCTTTGGGTTTTTTCTTACTGCTTCTTTTCTTGCAATAGAAACAAGAGTCTTGAGAAATTGAGTCATTTTTCTGATATTGTCCAAATGCTAAGTATGCATTAAACTGATTACAATCCAAATTGTGATTTTCTTATATTCATATGTAAATAATTTGCAGATCCCAAAGCATATGACAAAGTTTAAAGCCATTTCTAACATGAACCTACTTTTTTCCTAGGGAATTCCTGCTGAGCTGGACAGAGATTTAAAAAACAGTTATGAAGTACTCAGAATGGGTGAAAGCACCCACAGTGTCTCCATAAAAGCAGCAGATGATCAAGAGAAAAACTCACCTTCCTTGCATGTTAAGAATACTGATAAAGTAGCCTGTGAAAATAACAGGAATTTCAGGTAAAATATTAAGAGAGTATTTATAAGTACTTACTTTTTAATAACTTCCAGAAACTGTGCTATGGCAGCTAATCCATCCTCTGTATATAAGTGCTTTGATTCAAGGCGAGGGAGAGAATGCAAAAGGTTCCAGAAAGATGGCTGTTTGTACAGGTTTTCTATTTTAGAAATGATTTCTTCTGCTTCATTCAAATCCATCTTCACGTGAGGAAAACACATTTACACAACACTTGCATTAGCAGAAAAAGCCAGCAGGCGTCTGCTACTTCCCCAACCCTGTTGAACTTAAAACTATTTCAAATTTTTTTTTCAAGTATGAAGTGTACCCTCTAACTTCATTAATTCACAGTGTCATTTTGGTGATACTTTGAACTAAGAGTAATTATCTTGCACATGACTTTGTCTGCTCTTGTGGTAGATGGAACTGGGAGAAAATCTGAGTAATCTTTCTGCTCAGACATGCAAGGAGACACATTATACTCCCCTAAAGAGAAGGGTTGCCTATGATATCTCATACACAAAGAGCTCTTTAGCCTGGCAATGAACTTTAAGCCTAAGGATAAAGGGCAGCATCCTGCCAGGGACATGCCATTCTCATCTCACAGCTCCTCCCACGGAGCTGGGATAGGTGTCAAGTACTGGTTGGTGAAAGTGGCTTTTGAAAGATTAACTGACTGGGGTAAAAGGACACAAAGAACATCTTTTGTAGGACTAAATCATCAGATGGATTTATCATAGCTGTTCATTATCCAGCCCTTATTTACCTAGTTTAATGTTTCAGTTGAGCTCTTTTGGATAATAGTAACATGAGAGACATTCTACTAAAAGATGCTTGCATATGCAAGCCATTAACAATGATATGCTTCTTTCAGATTGTCCCCCTCTACTCTATCCTTATGAGATGTCCTCTGGAGTACTGCGCCCAAAGCCTGAGGCCCCCAGCACATAAAGGATGTGGAGCCGTTGGAGAGAGTCCAGACAAAGACCACGAGAACCAGAGGGCTGGAACACCTTTCCCTGTGAAGAAAGGTTGAGGAAGTTGGGCATATTCAGCTTTGAGAAGGGAATACTCCAGGGAGAGTTCATTACAGCCTTTCAGTATTTGAAGGGAACTTACAGGCAAGAGTGGGACCAACTTTTTACACGGTCCGATAGTGAGAGGACAAGGGAAATGGCTTTAAACTAAAAGAGGGGAGATTTGGATTAGGTGTTAGGAAACAATTTTTTACTCAGAAGGTGGTGAGGCACTGGCACAGCTGCCCAGAGCGGCTGTGGTGCCCCATCCCTGGATGTGTTCAAGGCCAAGTTGTTCCTGTCCCTGCGCAGCCTAAGCTGATGGAGGGCAGCCCTGCCCACGGCAGGAGAATTGGAACAAAGTGATCTTTAAGATCCATTCCAACCCAAAACATTCTATTATTCTATGATATGATTAATAAAGCTCTATCCAATCAAGTAGCTTTTGAGCAATTGACAATCATTACTATGAAAGTGCTATCTCATTTCTAGTTATGAATCAGAAATGTAGGTCTCATGAAGTTGCAAGCTGTAATCAGTTTACTATGGAGAAAAATAATTTTACAATATTTTGAAGTGAAACCAGTGTTCTGTGAAAGGTACAAAATTGACAGCAATGGAAATCCACTGCCATGCCTGCTGAGTCTTCCGTGTTCTGTTGAGATTGCAAAGGTGGAAAGACTGCACAGAGCCCAAATTCACTTCACATACAAATGAGTTCCAGAAGGAATTATGCTACTTTTTACAATCCTGCCTTCCTTTATTCCCACTTTATAGTCTTCATGTCGTATTTATTACATCATAAATCTGAATTCAAAGTAATCTCCAGGAGACCAATCTTCTCAATCTCACTACATTCCTTTTCTAAGGTGCTAGGGGTTTTTGTTTTGTTTTGTTTTTAAATAATGAGCACACTTTAAGAGTTGCTTCTGAGATGTTTTGTAATATGATTGAATTCATAGAACTACTCAAAGTTTGGCAGACAGAGTTTTAAATTGCTCCAAATAAATATCTAGCCTTCAAAAGTTGTGGATTTTGGTTACTAACAACCTAGAGTTGTTTAAATCAGTGCACAAGAAACCACTGAAGCATCCAAGACATTTTTTCCTTCAGCAATATAACATTTTTTTTTAAAGGCAGATTACTACAACCTGACAGGATAGAAATTTCTAACAGTTACAATAAAGATGCTTAAAAAACCAGAACTATTTAGAAATAAAATGTAAAAGTACTTACAGTAAGAAAAGTGGTGCCATTATGAAGACCTGTAAAATCAGATATTTTTCCTTTACAAAGAGGCATTATTAACTTCAGAAGATCCATTTTATAAATAATAGCAAATAGTAAACAAAGTATACTTCTAAAGGAGAAAACAGGTGTGAAACAAGTATTACTGTAGAAAGTTAGCAAGCCACCAATTTTCTATGCTTTCCAGTTTTTTTACAATTATTACAGAAACAAAAGAAATGCATTACCATTCACTTTTCAGTAAGACAAAATCATCACATCAACTACTAGATGAGTGTATTAGCCCCCACAGAGCCAAGTATGAAATCAACTGCTTCACCTTAATCTTTCTGCTCGAAATCTCAGCCACCTGCTACACAGCAAGACTGAGCAGTATGAGTGAGAGCAGAGCGGGGAAAGTCAGAACATGGTGTTTCCAATCTCACTCTTTTAGTTCAAGACTGATTTGTTCACAAGGTGCAAGAAAATGAGTTTCCTGTCCTTCTGCTCTCTACTAAAACAGATATAACTGGGAAGACAGGCTAGGTTGTTACCCAAACCAACAGATCTTTCTTGCTAAACCATGATAGCTACTCTTGAATGCACACTAGATAAGTAACCATATACTCCAATTAATAATCATTATCTTTAAACCTTCACCACAAAATATTTTCTTAACAATCAAGTACTAAAACAAGAGTTTCAGAAACCTGAGATTTTAGAATAGCCACAGTAATAACAATCACTAAAGTGGCTTTTATTTTCGTATCAGCTAAATTTGACTTTGCTAATTTTATTTAAAATAGAAGTATTCCTTTGTCTGACAGGTATCACTACCTTATAGACAAGGCAATGCATTATTAGAAATATCAGAGCTTACCTGAGAACTTTGAGCTTTCTTCCCACAGTTTTTCTAAAGCCATGGTTTTCTCTGTTGTCTCAGTAAATCCCTTTGCCAGTTCTTGTATCTCTTTCATAAAGGCTAAGTCAGGTCCTGCAAAACTTTCTGAACCACTTTCAACACCTGAAGTACTTTTCCATAGAAAAACAAGAGGACAAGATAGATAATTACAACCTGGAAGCTAGGCATTGAGAACAATGTTGCCTTATAGCAGCATTCTAATTGTTTTTGTTTTCAGAGCTATTATACACTTAGTTGTTTTTTATTTTGTTCAGTTCATTAGTGCTCAAGTTGCACAACTGAGTCAAAACCTCAGGAAAGAGAGCACTGTAAATTTGCTGAGCTGAAGCAGCTGAACTAGTCAAATAATACAAATCTGACAGCAGATAGACACATACAATGAAATCTTTAGCACTTCCAAATGTGCTCAAATTTGTTCCCTGGTGCATCAAGATTCCAATTGATGATGATTCTTTCACAGACTGTACCCTGAGGTTCCAACTGCATGTAAGCCAACACACTGCAACCAGTGTCCAGGACAGGGGAGACATCACCAGACAGATGGGGATAACGCCCTGACAAAATTGGTGCTTCCCTTTTAGTTTTCTAGGCAAAAGAACTGTCATGACATTTACATCATGTTAACAAAAAAAGCAACACCACCAACACCTGCACATTGATTCCAAGTGACATGCTCCTCAAGGTACCTTTCTAATTGAAAAGTGACAAGAATTGTGTCACTGGCTAAATATCTTTCCTTATGCTGATTTACGTTTTGAAAGTGTCTGTTAAGAAAACCTATACCACTTGTACATGAGATTATGTTTGTTTTTTTTGTTTGTGTTTTTTTGTTTTTTTTTCCAGATACATGCAATAACCCACCAAAATGTCAAAAAAAAATTCTTAAAAAGATATTGTCAGTACCGGCTTTCCCTCAATTTTAATTTACAGCTAAACCCTCTCCAATGCTACCATCTAGTGGCTTTTCAGTAACACAACAGCTCTTGAACAATAATTCTTCCAATGTGAAATAAGTTCAACAATCTTTTACACACCTCTACAGGCCTACATTACTTAGACTATCCCAAGTTACCATAAGCAATGGAACAGTTATCTTTAACATTTTGCCAGGCAGTTTAATTTATCTTAGAGAAAGTTCAAATGATATAAGGGTGAAGTCATGTAGCAAAAACATTGTGAATTTTCATTAGAAGAATAATTAACTGATGCATAAGCACTACTAAATAGTAGAATATATATATAAATAGTCACATTCCTTTCTTGTCACACTTGAACATGAATGTTAGTTTTCAGCACGATTGCTATCAATTGGTAAAAAAAGATCTAACGAGATAAAGATCCACAAACTAATTCAATTGATTCAGTTTATCCTGTCTTATTTCTTCCAGTTGATTCCTACAAACATCACCATGAACATCACGGAGCAGAACTTCATTGCAGCAAGTCTCATGAACAAGCATCCCAAAAGAAACACATCCTAGTTAGACAAACAGTTCCTTCACAGTTATTGTCAATTCTCTAGCTGCAAAATTTTCCAGTCAGCATTTTTTGACACGTCATACAAACTTTCAGCAGTGGTGGTATCTCAACTCATATAAGGCCACAGAAATCTTAAAAGTACTTCAGCTAGAGAGGAAAAGAAAATGCATGAAAGAAGTCATGGCAGAATACTAAGTTTGTCTTAAGCTGTATACAAGGGCATGGAAAGTAAAATTCAGTGTTGAAAGTCAAGGAACCAAATCACAAAGTTTGGGTTATTTTTAAACTGAATTATTGTGAAGAAAATGTACATAGCCCACGTACATAGCCAGAGCATTAAGCTCCTGATTCTGTTAGAAGAAGCAAATTACTAATGACCCAAGGTCCCAAGAGACAGATAACTTGAAATCATTCACACATGCATGGTGTTTACATCCTTTTAAAAATTGAAATTAATTTGATTCTTTATCAGATTATAGTTAAGAACAAATATTAAGCACTGTCAGAACTACTTAATTAGAATAATTTTTATTTCATCTATGATCCTTAGTTGAATCCATATTACTGTTTTCCTCCCAATTATGTAAATAAAACACAAAGTCATAAAATAAAAGCAATAATGCACATAACTGGATCAGATATGTTCAAAAGTTCTGCTAAAATGCAGCCACCACATAGTATGCAGATGAAGAAGCACCTTTCTCTTACACTCCCTCCATCATCTTTATTTGTTCAGACACCAGTTTATGCAGACTTTTCTGCAACTTTAGATTACAGGTTGATGAGAAAATTTAAGCTTAGAACTACCAACAAGATCTTTATTGTTTCAGAGCAGCTTATTTTGATCCCAACTGAGCTGCCAGCCAAGAGGATTTTATAAAAATCTTTCACCAACTTCAAACTTTCACAGATCATCCCAGCATCCTGCACCTCTCTGTCCAAAACAGCACATGAGAAACAGAAAATAGCTTTCCACATGACTTTGACCATAGGGCTTGCCTTGGCTTACCAAGTGCCTATTTCAGAATAAATGAGGCTCAGAGTTGGCTATTAACTTCTTGCAAATCACCCACCCACTTTTCTCTTTGACTTGATGCTTGATTTCATGTACTCCCCATGCAACCTCCCTGCTTTTCTCAATGTGTGTCGTTCAGAGAAAATCCATGATATGGCACAAGCAAAATGTGGTCTCAGCACACAGAGCTGTAAGGTGATAGCTCAGTCTTCCACACCAGTATCAGAATCAAGTCTACCCCTGGGCCTTATTAGATTTAGTTTCAAGTTTTTGCAAGTTTAGCAAATATTTGTTTTAGAAGTTATCAGGTCTTGATTTTTATGCTACCAACTACAGCTGTTTAAACACTATATGCAAGGAGGTTGGAACTGACAATCTCCAGAGGTCCCTTTCAACCCTTACAATTCTGTAATTCTGTGAATTTAAATAAATTCATCAACTTTCTTAGAAATAACACTCTGGAGTCTTAGTTTTTAATCATCTTAAATATTCCAAGTACAGGAAAATCTAAACTTATTTTATTTGTGGCATTGAAAAGTCTAACAAACATAGATCCAGGAGTCTGAGTTGGGATTTGACCTTGCAACTCATTCTGCAAGATCTGCAATGGAATTAAAAGCATCAGGAATATATTATGTCTACATGCACGTGCACACTTATTTTTGCATGGGAGTGTAAGACACTGTGCTGGATGGTTTTTACATTATTTGCATGCTCTCAATTTTACTCTGTGCTCCAGTAAGATGGGTTGGAGTATGAAAAACTTGGGAAAGAGACGGGAAAAACATCTGTTGCTTTGGGAGCTCCTACATATACTCAGAATGCTAAGCAGGTCTGAGATACTGCTATGTTTGATAGATGAAAGGAGTAAGGAACAAAAACTTTGGCCAGATTGGGTCAGCTGTCCTGGCTGTGTTCCTCCCCTTGTACCCCTTCAGCCTCCAAACTGGCAGGGCAGTGTGAGGAACAGAAAAGTCCTTGACTCTGTGTAAGCACTGCTCTGCAACAACTAAAAACAATAATGTTATCACCACTATTACTAAGCCTAAAAAAAAAAAGAAGAAAAAGCACAGCATCATATGACCCTCTATGAAGAAAATTAACTCTATCCCAGCCAAAACTATGACAAAGGGCAGATATTGCTGAAAAGTTACTGAGTTAATCCTAGCCTTCGCCTGACTTATTTGCTCACCAGAAGTCTGTTGATGGAGTCTGTTAGCCTGGACAGATATTTGGGTGGCTTATGGGTGGCTTATGGTTTTCATAATGGAGATTCCAATAGAAGTCACAGGATTTTTTCGAAATTTTTTCAGCTATATTTTAAACTGTCAGCATCAATGCAGTATGATTGTGAAAATAAATGCGTCACATGTCCATGCAAACTATACAGTTCTTGATTTACCTTTAATAAACACAACATTGTTCATGAAAAGCATTCCTGAAAAGGGCCATATAAAGAACCAGCTATGGTTTGACATAAATCCTCAAGGGGAAGATATTTGATATTGCTATTCCTATGTCACCCCTTCTCTCCAGTCAACGCAGGGACATTGTAGAGTTCAGTTGCATTTGGCTGATCAAGCTGACAACCAGGATTCCTAAGGCTGCTGGCAGACAGCATAAGCCAAAGCAACATTTAGGCTGATTTAATTTATGCTGATGAACCTGCTGTAATAGACTGACCTCAGGATGAACCTTATGTTACCTTCTACCCTTTTCCTGACATAGGTTATAATATTCAGCATAGCCTTCTGAGGATAGAAATATATATACATAGAAGAATTTATTTTTCCATTAAAAGAAAAAAAAGCAATTTAATAATTTCCCTCATTCTTAAGTAGGTCTAAGACTGCCTCCAGGAAATTCCTTCCTGATTTTCTTTTGAGCTGAAATATAATTTGGGCGGTTCAGTCAAAGTAGTGTAAATAATCATGCAAGGCAGTTGATATAATTCATTGGTCCTAGGGGCTTGACACACTTAAAATAGCAACTGGAGTGGTGATGTAAATAAAAACTATCCATTTAGGAATTTTTTTTTTTTAAAGACTAAGAGCTATTTTGACACCATAGCCAATAATACGATATTACTACTGCAAGTAACAAGCTTCACACAGAATTTGCAAGACCATAGCATTGAGGTTGTTACCTCCTTTGTCTAAACCTGAAATGTGCCTGCAGTTTTGATTTTTTCTGGACAAATGATTAAGGTTTTTTATTTTACTTTCACACATCACTGTATAATACTACTATAGTTTTACACCCATAGGCTTAAAATATGATCATTCAAAACAGAATAAGATATTTATGACTAACGCAGGACAGTATTATGACAATATCAAGAAAAAAATAACATGTAGGCCTTCCTACAGTCTACTTTTTCACATTCTTTTATTTACAGATGTTCTGCTACTCTTTTTTGGCTCTTTGTAGATCTTACTTAAGAGCTATCTTTGTTTTGCTTTTCTACATGTATACTTCCCACCATATATAATTTCAAAGTATAAATCCATGTATGGTGTAATTTTTGTTGGCCAGTCTCACCTTCACAGAACAATAGTCTTTCTTGTGAAACATAGAAATATGCTCTCATGTGCAGCAGTGAAGTGCAAGAATAGCACAGAATTCGTCCATGAAGGGCAATGAAAATTAGAAAGAGACATACAATAAAGCCTTGTGACTTCTGCACTCATAATGATACTAAAAGAAACTTCACGTGGTTACAAAATTCCTGTTCTTCCTATCTGCAAAACAAAAATATTTGCTGTAAAAAGACCAACCGTGACTCTTATAGCACTGTATAGACTTGTACATCTTACCGTAAGCGGTTGTATTTCTGTGTTGAGTAACTGGTATTCCTGCATCTTGAACCAACATTACAGAAAAGAGACCGCATGAAAGGGTAAAGGCCCCGACTTGGCAAATCCCGAGCTTCTAAATAACCTAAAAATCAAGCAGCAACAGAATTAAAACCAGCAATGCTGCAGTTATAAAACTTGCACATAACATTATGCACCCTTCTCCTAAAAAGCTGCTCTGTCACCTGCAGATGATGATGTTACATTAATATCAAGTGTTCCATCTTAGCATAACTAATTAACCACAGAAAACAGATAACTCCCACATCAGACTATGACAAGATAACAGTAGAGAGCACTTTCTGAAGAGCTCACTCTCATGGCAGTAATGCCATTGCTACACCAAAACCTTGCTAACCAGTCAGTCCAAAATGACTTGCAAGCTAGATCAGAACATATAATTCCTCATTAAGTTCTATTTCCTCTTTTCTTCGAGGCTTTTATGAGATGAAGGAAATAGCGCTGTTACATCTGAATTTACATTCAAGATTGACTAAAATGAAGTTTCTTCATATTCTGAGAATTTAAACCACAAAATGACAGGGTTTTTTTTGTGTATGTTTTGAGTTCTTTTTCCAACATAAAGGATAGCTATAGGGTTCCTATTTAACTTAATCACTCAATTTAAAATAGCTAAAATTAAAAGCATCATCATTGAAAGATCATTCTGCCTTCCTCAACATAACTTTCTGTTGGCAACCATTATATCAAATTTAGGAGTATGTCTAAAACTAGTCTGACAAATGGTACCTTGAACTGTATTTTTTCCCCATCTAAAAATGACTTGCTCAGGGCCACAGCTAGATAAGACCTAATCACACCCTAGGTTTCTATCTCTTGTCTCCACTACATGTAAGTCAACCCTGCTGGTTTGTCTTCAGTTTTTCCTGAATGCTTCTTAAAAGAGAGTCCAGAGGAAAAACAGCACAAGTGAAACAAAACATACAGTTTTCCTTGTGTTTCGGGGGCTCTTGGAAGCGGATTGCAGCCAAAATCAGGAAGAGCATGCATGGCCAGAGTATTTCAGAGAGGAACAAGACCTGAAAAGGGAAATGAAAACAATAGCAGTGCTACTGGGGAAAAAAAAAAAAAAAAAAAAAAAAGTATTTGGTAGCAAATAACTTAAGTCTGAATACCTTTTAAAATAAAATAACAACAAAATAGCAATATGCATTTTATTTCAAAATCCTTATAACTTTACCAAATACATACCAATGCAGTTTTCAGCTTTTCTGCTGATAATGTGCTTATGTTATATCCTCTGATCAATACAAAATAAGCCTGACACAACAGAATTACAGCTTTCCTACAGCTGATCCTCTTGAGAACCCAGCGTTGCACTGCACCTTGATGAAGTTTCTCATGCTACCCTGTTGCCTGCTGTCCTAAACTGTGACTGGCACATCCCCTCATCCTCCTCAGGCTCCTCAACTGATGCACTGCATCCTTGCTTTCACCTACAGTCATCACTCTCTAAAACCTGCATTCATCACCCCAGCAATAAGGCGCTCTGAAGCCTAGCTAACAGGCCTCAGGCTACCCATGGCCACCTCACATTTCCCCACCTTCCCATTCCCAGGGCCACAATGGAAACACATCCAAGCTGGTGCAGTTGTGAGACATATAGAAATCAGGCACATTTCATATGAGCAAAAAGCATCTGCTTCCACCTCCAGGGAGAGGATGCAGCTCTCGCCAGAAAGATTCCATGCAGAAAAAGAAGCAAACACTCCACAGGTGCCTCAGTTCCCAGCTGAAAAAGGAAAAAAAAAGACAAAACCTGATCTTTGGCAAAAGTTCAAAAAGAAATCACTGCTATGAGGGCAGTGAAAGTGGGAACAATAAAAGTAAGGGAAGTATGAAGACAACCTTGGTAACAAGAATGCAGTAGAAAAGACACATTAAATATCTCCCATTAGTGATACTAAGAGAGGCTTTTAGCTTCTCTGAAAATTATTGAGGATTTTTATTTCAAGACATAGCTTTGTTGTTGATCAAAATTCCACTGAGAAAGCAATTTCTAAGTTCAGGTGTGTTACAAAAACAGCTGGGAAAAGTAACATAAAAACAAAACCCAGAAGCAGAGTCAGACCTATGAAAAAGGCCAGCTAAACCCACTTAAAATCAAGTAGGAGCAAGCCAAAGAACACCAGGCCAGGTGCTTTTACATTTTTGGGTAACAGTGAAGGACAAAACTTGGCTGGACAAGAAGCCATCCCTCAGGGTCCCATGAGGTGAACAGGACAAGCCCAACCACAACCAGCTTCAACCAGAAGTTCAGATCACATCATAGTGATGAGGCAGATCAGAAAGAAGTCAGAAATTGAACTTGAAGATCGATGTCAAGTCCAGTGTGAGCAACCAGAATCAATCACTATCCTATGCTACCTAGACAAAACCATAACCAGGCAGAGTGGAGCCAGACTGAACTAAATAGACAGGGCTGGGTGAGTGTCTGGAAGTCCCAGGTGAGGCTGTTTAGGCTGATTAAGACCTATCTTTGCTCCTAGAGTCCTTGATTCCTGTGTGTGTGACTAGAAATTTTTGGTGCATTTAGGTATTTATAACATCCTTTAAATAGGGCAGAGGTTTTTTCTTTCATCGTCTTTCTTTGCTTTCACTTATCTTTTTATAAGCAGTAGCAGCTGTGTGGAATTGTGAATCATAAAATGGTTTGGGTTGGAAGGGACCTTAAAGATAATTTAGTTCCAGCTCCCTGGCATGGGCAGGGCTGCTACCCACCTGCTTGGGCTGGTACCTGCCATCTCAGGCTGCCCAGGGCTCCATCCAACCTAGCCTTGAGCCCCTGCTGCTGGCAGTATGTATCTCCTGAGCTTCCAAAATACAAAGTTCAAAACTTCATCCTTAGTGATCCCCCTCAAATACTCTTGAGTACATGCAGATAAGGCACATTCATGGCTCAGTATTCACACAGTGAGCATATAAAGAGATTTTCAAAAATTTCTCAGGGCAGTTCCTGGCTCTTGACTTGCAGAATTAAGTTTAATTTAGGTCATTCATTATAGTTCCTGGTTTAGGGAATTTTGCATCTCACTAAGTTCTCTATTCAGGAAACAAGCCATTAAGGAAAGCTTAAAACTTAAAAGAATCAAAACTTTTTCCTTCAAAAAATATATGAGGCAGAGTAGGATGAGAAGATGATCAGCATGGAGGACAGCAGGAGGTATTAAGCCATTAAGGACACGCAGATTGAAGTACGAGGAACTGGGAGCATTCAGAAGTGTTTGGGAGCGATGAAGAATGTAACAGCATTCCTTCCAAAAATATATCAACAATATTTTTTAAATATATCACCTGAAATCTTATGAAAATGAAATTTTCTCTCTAAATCACAACTTTATTAAGTAAAATATTTCTGAAATGAAAAGCTGTATCTTTATTTAATTGAAGTAATCGAATCTGAAGTAGCCATCATGCCTCACTGCAAATCCCTAGATTGACACAGACAAGGGAGATTGATGGGAAAATGTTAACTGTAGTGAAATCTTTTTCCCACAAAAATGTTATTTCACTTGACAGAATTCTCTCCTTTCTATCTTAAAATAATTAAAATTTTGATACTAATTACTCATGCATTATACCGATCATTGGTATCACCAATGATTACTTCCAATGTGAAGGAAATTGATTTTAATCCTTGTTACTGCTACAGGCACTGGTAGTATCTAACGATAATTAAAAGATAATCTGTGATTCTTCAAAAACTTTTATGAGATTTCCTATCTTAATTTCAAACTGTGAAGAATTACTCACTTCAGCCATTTTAGAATTAAATCACACTACTGTTCTATATTTGTATTTTCAACAACAAGGAGACAAAAAACAAAACAAGAACCACTGGCAGTCAGCCGATCCTTTAACAGTGTGCAGTGAGAAGGGAAAATCAAGACAGAATGATAGATACACTATTTCCAACAGAGAACTCAGAATACACTCTTCCTAGCAAAGTAAGGTTTGAAATATTTATTTTATTTTATCATTTCCAAAAACTCACCGGTTGCCTCACACGGCAGAGCCAATTCTTCCAAAACAGTGCCTTGAACTGGCGTACTGCGTGCCCCATTATCCTCTTTTCTTCATCTACCTTGAGAGTGGCTTCTTCAGGACTTTTTAGCCAAGGATCATCTCACCAAGCAGTCCAAACATATTGTTCAGTAGCTGTGTGATTCCAGCAGTGAGGAAAAGTGCAAGAGATTTGCCTGCTTGTTGAGAACAAATGAGATTATGTTTCTGCCTCTTGTTTTGCTTACATGGAGGAATCTCATCTTTCCTCTTGCTTCTCAGTGCAATGAACAGTGAGGGGATGGGTTTATATGAATGCCTTCAGGGTGCTTTACTCTCCTGCAAATATTCTGCCCTTGTTTTTATTATTCTGCCATGAAAACTGAATGCAAATAACAGGGGAAAAAAAAAAAAAATTGGACAACGTGCTAAACGCTTTTGTCTTTCCAGAATTCAGTGACTTTTTGTATCTGCAGTGTTGATGTCATTTCATATGCAGATTTGTAGCCTTTTGAAAAAAAGAAGTGAGAAAGTAAGTATGCTATTTAGCCTTCTAAGGACGCATCTAACACTGTGGTGATCCCACCACATCATCATATGTATATAATATATATGTAATATATACATACGTATATGTAATTTTATCTTACAGTCGGTGTTTGTTTGACATTTATTTTTTCTTTTTCACTAAACATTGCCTACAGAAAAACTGTATATTCTGGAGAGCCAGAATCACACATACAAACTAAGACAGTGCTATGCATGAACAAGCATTCTTTATCTTTTTTTACTGCTGAATAAATTGGATCATTACACTTTCTGCAAATTGTATATAATGAAAGAGGCATCGTAACATGCATGGCTGTTTTTCTTCTTAGAGTGTAAAATTCTCAAACACTTAAAAACCTTTTAGATACAGAAAACTTTAGTGAGGAGTCTGCCTTCCTCAAGACTTAAGCTAAGAAGGCAATCAAAAAAAATTAAGTCTAACATTTCTGCATTAAGCAACCATTCATCACAGAATCATAGAATCACCTGGCTTGGAAAGCACCACAATGATCATCCCCCTGCTGTGTGCAGGGTCACCAACCATCAGGCCAGTCTGCACAGGGCCACATCCAGCCTGGCCTTGAATGCCTCCAGGGATGAGGCATCCACAACCTCCTTGGGCAACCTGTTCCAGTGTGTCACCAACCTCTGAAAAACTTCCTCCTAATATCTAACCTGAACCTCCCCTGTCTCAGTTTAAAACCATTCCCCCTTGTCCTGTCACTATCTTATTCATCTGTAGGTCCACTGAGTTTTCCCACCTTCCTTGGCATGATGCTCAGATGGGATGTTATGGCCAGTGTCTCAGCTTTCCTTCCCCAACTCTGGTCCTACAGAGGAGTCTGTGAAGCTTACTTATTCTGCTTCATGTTAAACTGACTGATTAACCTGATAAAATCTTTGCATTTGAAATGGTGCAAATTGCTCTTTTTCAATATTCTTTGGGTTCAAGGAGTAGTGCTATTAATAAAATACAGATTATATAGTTGTCAAGAATATTACATACTGTAAAAATTCACTTCCTGAAAACAAAAATCTCAGATACAGTAATAGCAGAACAGGACTAACTGAACACTTATTCATCAAATAAGGTAGGTTTTTTCTTTCCTTTTCTCTGAGGCTGAAAAATTACTATTTACTGAAGTAATCACTTAACTTCCCATAGAAATGGAGACATCCACAGGACTCCTGATGTGCCTCCACCTCTCCCCATTCTGGGCCCTCCTCATGGCATGTTCCACAACGTCAGAGAGTGTCTGAATGGACAGCCCAAAAGTAAGAAGGTACCTCACAAAGGAGCTTCACTTTACAACATTCCCTTAGGCAAGGGATGGTTTTCATTCTAGTCAAGCACTGTTAAAATTCCTCTAATTCAGAGTATGCACAGTAAATTTGCTCTCCAGGAGGAAAGATGAAAATCCAGGAGAGCTGAGATGAAAATTCTGTGTACAGTCCAAGTATGCAAATTTATTTGTCAATACTTGAATACTATGAATAATATGTGTATGGGCTCACGCAGCAATTTTGGAAGGCTGGAGGCCAGAATCTATATTGAATGTTTTGTAGGAAATGATAAACTAATCAGTCAGTATAACGAATTTCAAACAGTTATTATCAAAGTAACTGATATGGTTCTCAACAGTATGCAAACCATCTGCCAAATTATTCTGAACAAGTAATTCTGCAAAATCTCTGCTCATCTGACCGTATGATGTACATAATTTGATATGCTCTATATAATTACATACTCATAAACGCATTCCAATTTTTAATGCTAAACAGCTCTTTGTGAATATAGAAAACAACTGGTTAGCATGCAACTAATTTTCAGCACTAATTAGTTACCAACTCTTCATTTTATTATATAAGACACACAGTGATAAACAGCTTTCACCAGTGAGATCACAGAATTACAGAATGATGGGGATTGGGAGGGAGCTCTGAAGACCATCTACTCCACACTCCTGCTAAATCAGGTTCCCTGTAGTGGGCTGCCCAGGAAAGTATCCAGGTGGGCTTTGAAAATCTTCACAGAAGGAGACTTTGCACCCTCTCTGGGCAGCCTGGTCCACTGTTCTGATACTCCCAGTATCCCAGTAAAAAAGTTCTTTCTCAATATTAACTTCATTTGCCCTCGAGTATCATCGTCCCTTCCTAAAGAAATTCATTCCTGCCTATAAGGTGTTCTCTAGTAGCACACTTCTTTTTCTAGAACAAAACAGATGACAGCCAAAGATAACATCATAAACATTCATCCAAGAACAATCCCTGTGGTGGCATTCTGGGAAATTACCTCTAAAATAGGCTTCATATTATTTGCAGTGTTCTAGAAAGATAAGAAATATGAGTTCAACCCTTCCTGACAAGCCCTTGGCACCAAAGTGATGACTATTAAAAATTAAGCAGACATGCAGATCAATTCTAAATAGTTTCTGAAAACACATCAGCTGTTTTGCTGACAACCTGGATGTTCTTGAGTGGTCTATGTTTCACCAGCACAGTGTCAGGCAGTCTTGAATATTACAGAGCAAATTAGAAGGTAACACATTTTACTATGTGCTCCACTCATTCTTTCTGGAATAGGAAATATATATATGCTCAGAATCAGCTGGACAGGGTGGGACAAAATAGAGCAATGCATGCTCTTTGATTTCTGCTCAGCGTGAGCAGTCTGTCAAGGTGCTGAATTGGACATTTCTTGTTTGAGTGCACAGGATATCTGGAACCATGGGGGCAGAAAAGGCAGCAAACTCTCCACCCGCATTCAGCTTCAGCTTCAAAACCTGACTGCTTTATGGTACCACCAACTCTCCATGTCTGGCCTACTGCTTTAGTGTACGCTAATTACAGCTCAGCTGGCAAACACATTCAAAGAAACTTAGTTTTGTATGTTTAAGTATATTACAGGCCAGGAGCTACACATACTGGCTGGTAGACAGGAACACAGTCTAATTGTGTGAAAGCATGGCTAAGAATAAGGCAGACTGGCCTGTTTTCTTACCACCACCCACAACTCATCTCACAACGCTCGCTGTGTGATCACAAGGCTTCCCTTTGATCCGGTGAGGAGCGCTGCTCGTGAATATTGACACAGAACAGCCCTCCACCACAGACAAAGCAGAATGACATCAATTCAATTCATCTTCCTGGGAGACGCTTCCCGTGGGCTAAATCAGGAGACAACAAAAAACATTGGTTGCAGGCAGGGTCCAGTAAAATATTTGATGAAAACAGAGCCATGCAGCGAACTACAGCCCGAACTGGGCAAGTAGGCCACTGGTGGGGCTGCACTTCTGGGCAGCTATAGGAATTGCATTCTTGTAATGGGACAAACTGATGGTAAACTACGGGAAATTTTCTCACAGTTACAAGCTGATGAGAAGCATCTGGAATCAGATTTCTGTGTCATGTAAAACCGGCTTTGTCTGTCTTTTCCCACTCCAGCATTTTCCTGCAGCCTACACAGAAGCATTGCCCTGTCAGCACAACTCCTGCTATTATACTGGCAGAATTTCAGATTTAGTGCTATTTCTCTCAGTAACCTGTTTTCTCTCCATTATACAGCAGGCAGAAGACCTTTCTTTAACTGTAATTTAATTCATACTCTGGACTAAAGTACAATGTGACAATTATTTTAGAAAAAGAAACCATGTATTTGAGTCACTCCAACTTAATGACCGAATAACTTTCTGGGAAAGGAAAACTTAATATCTCTCATAAAACAGCTGTAATATTATCACCGCTGTGCTTTCCTGCAGCCACTCATTGCACACAGGCCTGATCCCAAACCTCAGCTGTTCCCTGCACCAGGACGGGATGATGATGGCACATCCACATGCTCTGTCTTTGGCTTCTTTCCCCCAGCTTGCCAGTGGAAATGAAACACATCTCCGATTGAAGGATGTTAACTGCAGTTCTTTATACATTTTATTTCAAAATATTCTCAGATCCAGGAGGACTTGAGATGGAAATCCAGCTCTGCTGCACAACACAGTGAAAAAAATCCCTTGAAAAGACACAAGAAGAATCTTTAAAAAGATGTTATGTATTAAATGTGTGTAATTATACTTCCAGGAAATCCCAAAAATACCCTTTAATAGGAATTATATTATTTGTTTTAAAGGGATAAAAGCATTTATACTGCATGTGTTTTTGGAAATAGGTCATTCCACCACACTTCCCTTTAGGATTTCTCATAACTTCCACCAACGAAAAGCTTTCTCTGAAGTACATCAAGATACAAGAAATAAAAATTAACTTCCTCAAGTGAACTCAACTTCATCAAGTTACTACCCAGTCTCTTTCAAATTTGTGACAGATGTGTTTTAACCTATCTTACATTGTGCTCTCAACCACTTCTTACACAGAAAGATTAGATCAGGCCAGAATGCTAGGAATCAAGAAACAGACCACTGGTAGAAAAATTGTTCCATTCTTGTCACATCTGACTTCCTCCTTTTTTGTTATCCTTACTGATGTCTGAAGTAAACAGTTTCTGTAGCATATTAGTAAGTATATGGTGACTAGACAGCACAAGTGGAACTTTGGTTGCATTTGGTTATGGACCTCTGTAAAATCTACCGGAAAGTAGCTTCACTGCCGGATGCATGCACAGCTGATTCATTTCTTTATCTTTCTGTCCATACACAGTCACAAGGTCTAATTCGACTGTTCTTATCAGGGTAACTTACTGGCAAGTTTCCTCTATAGCCAAGAGATTTTTTGGCACGTAGGATGCGTTCATACAGCACCCTCTTCTTGTATTAGGAATTAAGTATTACAGGATATTGAGCAGTGAAAAAAAAAACAGCATATTTGATCTCCTTTGATTTCTATTTTTTTTTATAATGATATAATCCTTTATATCACCTACTGGAAAGAAGAAAATTAATTTAAGAGGAAGAAAAATATGATGCTCTAAGGAATGGAGGGAAGGAGAAGGACATGGCTGAAGTTTTCTAGGAGTTCTTTCTTCCAAGGCTACACCATTATTTGACTCTGCGTAGGCACCACTGCTTCAGCGTAGAGTGCAGCATGTTTCTATGTTTCTTCTTAAAGCAGTTTTCTTACTTCCTTCCTACTGTTCTGGGAACTGGAGGTTAAAGAGTAAGGCTGCTGTTTGTCACATAGTTCCCAGGGATCTCACTTCCTGCAAAGCACGGGCAAGCACTGGGTAGAGCTACACAAAGATTATTTTTTTAAGAGAGAAACAGTTCTAACAAAATGTGGAGATTCTGTTTCACCCAAAACAATTCCTGAACTTGGAAGGAAAAGAAAAAAACATTGGCTGAAAAGCTTACCTTCATTACTTATCCTGAGCATAAAATGAGAAAGTGCATTTTTAGAATAAGGAGAATAAATAAATCAAAAGTATTTAAATCGTTTGGATTAAAAAGAAAACAATGACAGCACTGTTTTCATCTTTTACACTATCCATTCCCAATATGTTCCCAGTTAAAAAGTTATAAAAAGTAAGAACATTAGTCGTTGCTAGCAGTTTCCAATCTGCAAGAGCCCTCCCTTCCATTTTTAAGGAGTTGATCAAATTCTTTGTTTCTGTCTCTTCTCAGTGAACACGCCTATTGCTGCATCACTCCCTTTCTGATCTAACTCTCATGCTGTCAGAGAGTTGTAGACTACTGTCCTCAAAATAAAACCTACATTAGCTAAATTATAGGATCATAGGATCATAGAATCATAGAATGGTCTGGGTTGAAAAAGACCACAGTGATCATCTAGTTTCAACTCCCCTGCTATGTGCAGGGTCACCAACCATCAGACCAGGCATACTTCAACTGCAGCAGCAAAGAAATGACCACAATTTTAAAAATAAAAATGAAAAACAAAAACAACCCGCACTAAAACAAACTAGGCTAATGACAGCAGAAAAAAATATGCAGACATTTTGGTGGCATGTGCAGTCAATAGTTATTCTGCAGTTTTTCAGAGCTGGAAACAACTGCAAGAGTGAGTATTAAAGTCCTGAAGACACGGAAATGAAAACAAATTTAAAAAGAAACAAAGTGGGAGGAAGAAAATGAACCGCAGCATACAGTCCTGGGAAGATGTGCATCTCCTGAATGCCTCTGACTTTGCCTTCAGGCAGCAGGAGCAACAATTCAGCAAAAGATTTTGTGTTCTTCCATGCAAAATGACTATAGTAAAACTGTTCCCTGAGTATTCACCCAATGGGGTAGTTTAAATGAGATACAAATGACCTTGTTGTATTGGTATCTAGCAACAGCTCAGAGTCAAATCCTTAAGTCTGAGGAAATCCACTCTCACACTTTGCAATTTACTGAAATTTTACCATATGAAAATAATACTGTTTTTTTCAATGTCTGGAAAAACAAAGTGCATTCACCCTAAGTTTTCTTTACAAAGTGAAACAACAAAGGCAGCTGTTATAATTTATATAACTTTATATATTTTTTTAAAAACAACAAGGAAAGTATTAACATTCTTAAATTAATTTTAATTTGGTGGTTTGCAAGTACTTTCCAAAAAAAGTACTTTGTTTTCTTCCTATTTTTTCTTCAGCAGCGGGGATAAATGAAGCTTTTTCATATGTCACAGCAAGCTTCTTCACAACAGATCCATTTTCCACTCAGAAGAGGGAATCTTAAATCCCAGCAACAATAACTAAACTAATCTTAACTGAAGCGCATTCAGCACATTCAGTTCCCAAAGCACACTGACATAAATGATTAACTTCCACATATACGGGGAATGCTGAAAGCTATTCTGAGGCAAAGAACCTTTAATGCACAGAGGTTGTGACCACGACTACCGTTGTGCAAAAGCCTTCTGCTTCTAAAAACCAAAGACAGACATGTCATACTTTCCCAAGACTTTTCTTAATAAAATATCCCACTAATTTCTGTGGTCTCTGCTGATACTCCACAAGTATATCGTGTGAACTGCTGATCTGGTCCCCTTCAAGCCGATTCAGGAGAGTGACACACACTACAGCAGCTAGAAATGAAAAGACATACTAGTTAGGCATGGCACTCTGGTACTCAGACAGTCTAAAATCATAAATTTGAACAAACGTAAGAACAGTAATTTTTTTTTTTTCCTGTAATTTACTGAAAATTAGTTAGCTCGTGTAAAAAAAAAATTAAAATCTCACTTTATAATTAGGGAAGATTTATGATGCTGCCAAAAATCTGTAACTGTTTAAGAATTACGGCCATAAGTCTACACAAAATCTGCTTTCATATCTATATAAAAGTGTAGACAGTGATTTTAGCACTATACATTTTAAAACCATGTGGTTGATTAAATTAACCAGTTGCTTCTAGCAAACTTCAAAACCTTGCTGAGGAAAACAAATCAGTGCTACAGGCTAATTAGGTACTTCTATGACTTATGTGCTTGCCAATGGGTGGAATGACCGGAATTGAAATATACAAGAACTATGAGAAGAAGTTTGCATAAATTTTGAATATATATGACTCAAATCAAGCAATCATAGTAACAGTTCTACAACCAGAGCTGTTTCTTGCAGATGGTATATTATGCAAAAGATATGTCAGTACCCCATTGATAATTTTTACCTGAATTCTCCTGCACTGAAGAAAACATTCTGTTATTTGAATAAAGCAACTTTAAGCTAGTTTACCTCTGACACCGCTGAGATTGCACATAGCAGCAAAGACAGAAGATTCCATCTCAATGTTTCTGACACCAGAATCATAAGCTTCCTTCAAATATTGCAGTTTTTCTTCTTCATTATACAAGCAGATTGCACCATCCAACCTGCCCTGTCCTGCAAAGCCATTTTATAGAAATACTGATGAAGTCGTAAACCAAGTTAAATCTCTAAAATATCCATTTATTGCAGTTTCCCATACACAGTGTCTAGATTTTACTAACATCCCCCATCCCCAAAGACAAATAAGACAAAGTGACTCTCAGTTACTGCTAGAGCTTCTACATATTACTTTCATTCTTTATAATGTGACTCACAATAACTTTACTGGTTTTCTCCAGCTTAAACTTTCAAAATACATCAAGTGGTTTTCCCCACATGGGGCACGTGTCTGAATTTTGCAGCAAACTACATCTGCTTTAAGTTGTACGGAAATACAGCACTTTTTCCTGTATTTAATCATTGTCTAGGAAAAACACCAGGACTGAAAATGCCTTCCTGATACTAGTTTCAAACGGTTAGAGATTGGGAGTCTCTTTTGCTAAATAGTTAATACTAATTCTTAGGCAACTTCTAGAGAGAGTGCAGTGGAGAGCTACAAGGATGATGAGGGGCATGGAGCATCTCCCTTATGAGGAAAGGCTGAGAGAGCTGGGACTGTTCAGCCTGGACTTTTCAGCAGTGCCCAGCAACAGAATAAGATACAAAGGGCACAAACTGGAACCCAGAAAGTTCTATCAGAACATGAGCAAGAACTTCTTTACTGTGGGGGTGACAGAGCTGTGGAACAACCTACCCAGAGAGGTTGTGGATTATCTTTCTCTCGAGATATTCAAAACCCACCTGGACACTTTCCTGCAGGGAACCTGCTTTGTCAGGGGAGTTAGACTAGGTGAGTTCCAAAGGTCCCTTCTAACCCCCTCAATCCTGTACAATACCATCCTTTGGAAATTAAAATTTATTCAGATTATTTGAGATTAACACCTACAGGTAAGCTGGCAGCACGTTACATATAGCATAATTAAATGACACAGTACTTTACTATCTATTTATTTTCAGGAGGCGTATTCTGAAATGCATGCCCTTAAGCCTCTTTTCAGCTCCTGCTGTCTGTATCAAAAGCATTCCTGTCTCCTTTTTTCAGTGCAGTTTGTCTCTGCGATTGGTCTGAAGAGATGCACAAGCTGACACTGTCTGCTTCTGACCCATATGGAGGACTATGAAGAGCATGCGTCCCCCTGCACATTGCACCCTTTGTCACACACCCAGCAACTGCTTGAGAAAGCAGCATTAGTTGCTGTCTTCAACTCATTCTCATGAGATTTGAAAGCTTTCATTAACAGATTTCAGAGACCAGAGAAGCACCTGATGTCTGTATGTCAATCCATACCCCTGCTAGTCTATTGCAGCCATACCTTCATAGAAATCCAAAGTGCACATAGTGTTTCCAATGACAGTATTGAACTGATTGATTTCTTTACTGCACTGTAGCAGCTCCTTAGCCAGCTCTTCATCTAAATTTGTGCTGCGAATTACAGTTTTTCCCAGAACAACCTGTTCAAATTGAGGTTTGAAGGTGGCATCTACAGACTGCCTGGTTATAACCACTGAGCCTGGCTCCAGACCTGCAGTGGAAAGAAACAGATGCAGTTTCAATAACAGATACAGGTAATGCTTAGTTTCCACAGACAAAAATACACATCTTCACCCAATCCTGTTTCTTTTAAAAGTGATAATTTTACCCCTGAAATCACAGAGATATTTTTTGTGTGTGTGCCTCACCACATCGGTTTATTATTGCAAATATATTTGGAAAAAAAATGAAATCTTGACTTTTTCATCGTATATTCTTTTTTATTTTTGCTATTTTATACAGTACAGGAATGTCCTTCTCCCTCTGTCAGATCTCGTAAGTGCATTTTATCTATCTAGAGAGGCAGACACCATCTTTTCTTGTAAAATTATTTATTGTTTTGAAATGGAAGGACATTAGGACCCAGGAAATAAAAGAAATATCACAATTTTAACTTAAAAAAGGAAAGATGTTAGGGAAAAATTTTTTACTCAGTGGGCGGTGAAGCACTGGCACAGCTGCCCATAGAAGCTATGGTGCCCCATCCCTGAAGACACTCAAGGCCAGGTCGGATGGGGCCCTGGACAGCTGAGCTGGTGGGTGGCAGCCCTGCCCATGGCAGGCGTTGGGGCTGGGTGGGCTTTGAGGTCCCTTCCAACCCAAGCTGCTCTGTGATTCCATGATATAATTAAATGTGTTCAGAACAGATTTCTGAGTACCAATCACTTGGGGAGAAATACTTTGCTCTCCAACAGAGATGCCAAATGCTTTGTTTTGAAGAAAAAAGGAAATCAAGAGGAGAAATACCTATTCCACCCGAGGTGCCAATGCGAATAATGGTTATGTTGGAACACTTGGCATGATACAACATTTTGATCAGCTCGTGCAACATGATTGAAATAGAAGGAATGCCCATACCGTGCTGAAATGAAAGCAGAAATTCATGTTCGACATTCACATAGACAATGAAAAAATATACATGGAAGGAGTTAGGCATTATCTCCTTCTTGATACTCTTTTTTCAAATGCCACTTAACTCACCATCAAAAAACACTCATGGGTCTACTGAAAAACTTTTGAACAGTAAACATAAGGACTCCCATTGAATCTGTATAGATGAATTTCAGTATTTCTAATAATCTTGACTTATAAAATATTTATGCTCTTGAAAGTATAATCAGTATCCTTTCTTATGCTTACAAAGTTTACCTCACCACAGATTTTTTCTTAAACTGGGACAAAAGCCTCTTTTTATCGACTTGAAATGCTAGTGACTAATTAAGCTAAATTTTTTCAAAACACAACCATTGTTTATTTAGTCACAAAGTTCAAATGCAAGTTCACTTCAGCTTGCATGATGATGTCAAGGGAAAGGGTGAGAATGATATTACAGTTAAGTTATTGTTTCAAGTGAGTAATTGCATCTACAAATTAAAGGCGTGAAATTTTTAGAATGCATACACAAGTTGGTTGCATAACTCTCATGGAATGCCCATAGTAAGCTATGTTAGCACACTTGAAAATGCCACTGTAGGAATATACAATAGATGCATTTTTTCCAGTGTCCCACATATATAAAGTGATGATTCCATTCTTCAGGATAAGAAACAGGGATGAGACAGCAGTGATTCTGTTCAAAACATTTATAAGGCTTTGCAACACCTCAGGGTTACACTGAGGGAAAAGAAGGCAAGAAAAGAATCAGTGTCTTGGGAACAAGCCCTTTTACAAGAAAGGGATAAACAGAAACCAACAGGACTATTCTGAACATGGATGAAAACACATAAAAAGCATTTAAAAGAAACATGCTTCATATTTTCTACTTTGAACAGCATCACTAAATCATGTTCAATATCTGATGTATGTGTAGTATCTGGATGGTCATTTTTACATTCTGTTTCCTAAATGTCACTTACACTGACTGACAGAACGGGTCCCACTTTGTACATGGCATAACGGTCAGTTCCTGCACAGATGTTGGGGTAGTCACCACCAGGGCTCCCAAGTCCAAGTTCTTCAGCTATGTAGGCAATAAAAGCTTTCATCCGTGAAGGACTTCCTCCTACACACACGAACTGGTGCGGATAGCATTCAACAAAACAAAAATTGATTGGATGATTCATGCAAAGGTAAACAAGAGTATGCTGGCACCTTAACACAAAGCTACTCACAGTTGTGGTTCTTCTCTCAATCATTCTAAAAAGCCACTAAGAAAAGTATACACCAAAAAAATTCAATACAGCACTCAAAGGCCTTCAACCTGACTAAACTAGTAAAATACAGATTTTGACTATGAGGCCCAAAAATTGATTTCTTTACCTAAATAGAGACTGCAGCATTTGTCTTTTTACTTCCTGAAAAGAGACAGTCAGAAACTATTATAACTGATATGGATAGTAAAAAATACCTGCGAGTCTTATCCCCTTTCCATTCCTCCCTCAACTGGCAATATGCTGCCTTGTTTGACCTTATTTAGAAGACAACTCTACTTTGACCTTCTGCAGAAAAGCTTTAAGCTTGCTGAATGAAATGCAGCTTCTTACCTTTACATCTCCAAACAATGCAGGAAAATCATGGGTACCAGTCCCAAGAGCAAAATGGTATAGGATGTCTTCTTTCATTTTTTCCAGGTGAGGGTTGCACAGTTGGATAGAATTTTCTCTGGCAGGACAGCAGCATGGTGGAACATACAAAATACATAAAAAAAACTTACATCAAACGGATCCTAATTTTGCAAGGTCAGGTAGTAGAAGTTGGGTAACGCCACATCTAATCTTGGTTCCACACAAATTATGTTAAGGAAATCCTAAATTTTATAACCTTCTTACACTATGTAATAAATCACACCTGTTAGTAAGCATTCCATTCATTGCACAGGATGCAAGTGCTGAAGAAAAGCTCAGGCAGTGGAAAATATTTACAACAGTGCAACCTTTACCTTGAATAATATCAAAGCTGTGACCCAGGGTGGGGCTTTGAGGTGAGCAGAGCAATGGGAACAACACCAGGGGATATTCAATTGACCACTTTAGTACACAGACAGTATACAGCAAAGCTGAAAAGCAAACTTGACTTCTGTGTTTTGAAAGACCCTCCTTGCTACTTGGGATGGGTGGGAAGAGTTGGGCTTTACAGACAGTACCAAACAGAATTTCTGGCAGTTTGCCTCACTGTTTACTCTGTCATCCAGCCAGGAGAAAATAACCTATGTCCTGAAATCAGTAAAGAGAGTGCAGAGAAGCTGAATAGTCCAGGAAAGAAGCAAATGAAAATATGAAGCAAAGAAAGAAATAATAAAAATGAAAAAAAAAAAAAAGGAAGAGAAATACGGTACAAGACGACAGGGAAGGAGAAGAAAAAGTAAAAATAATTCATTTCCTCTTAAGTTGCTTCTTGTAAGGAAGTGATGCACCTAAAAAAGTAAACTTTTAGAAAAACCAGGAAATGCCAAAGCAATGAGAGAAAACTGAACTGTTTCGCATGTGGGACCGCCTTCATGGAAAATTTGGTGGTGAACTAAGCAAGCTAAACGACTCATAAAACATCTTCCTTCTCTCTGTACTCCATATTTAATGTTCAGCTGAAACAGGTAGGGAATATGAGTCAATAATAACAAGCTGAAGTAAAATACCAATCAATACTTCAAAGCAGTTTTTGAGAGATGAAATAAAGAATGAAGTATCTTCCAGACAAAAGAAGATGACTTAACAGCTTAATGAATGCTTACTGCAGACACAGCGTGGCTCAGCAAATTTGGACCAGTATGTCAAAGGGGACAAATGAAAGAGTTTCTCTGGAGTTTATTAGGGAAAAAAAAAAAAAAGAAAAAAAAAAAAGACTTTCCAGGCAAAACTCTGAAACCTATAAGTAAGTGTTTGTGTTATTTAGATGTTAGATGTTTTAGGTTATCCTGTCTGTCTTCTAATGCCTTTCCAGAAGGGTGGTACTTTCCTGTTAGACCTACATCTTTATCTACCAATTCTATGCAGGATCTGTTGTTACCTTAAGAAGCCTAAAATTCCCTACATGCCCATATTGAGCTCACTGCACTGTTCCTTAAAAAGCAAAGAAAGTAGTTAAAAACCCAGTGCTCTATCACTTATTCTTGAAAGTCCTTCTCTAATGTTACCATCAGTTCATCAGCAGCTATTACAACCAACATAAGGCACCCAACCCCTCTCTTTGCCTCTGCCCACCAGTGCTTAGTGCTTTTCAGTAAGTGAAAGAGCAGTCTGACACGGTGAGCAGCTCTTCTCCTTCCACCCAGCTCATCTCCTGCCTAAGGAAAGTAGTTAGATATGGTGAGACCAGGAGGAACAAAGAGCAGGTTATGGCACTTCGGCACAGTGCACACCACCCAGGAGACTGCCAGCTCCCTCAAGCAGAATTCCCAGGCTGCCTTCTCGGAGCTGTTTCGTGGGACTCTCTGCCAATACCTAATGGGCCGCTAATGCAGAACAAATAGCTGGCTGGGCTGATCCTTATAGAAATGGCTATTAGATATAAAGAGGACATAACCTGAAATCGCTTCGCAGTTCGTTCTCGGACATGTAAAATATATTTCCTTCTTTATGAAAATACCAGCTGTAAAAGCTTCTCTCCAGGAAATAAACTGGAAAAAGGCGAGGCCTATATTAAAAGGCTGTGAAACTCAAGTCGTTTGTGCCAGCACTGCTGTCTTCCTGCCCGGCCCAACTACAGCTTCCTTCCTCAGCTGTGTCTGCATTCCACCTCTTTCATCTCCTATCCTTCAGCAGCGCTCCTCGCCCCATAGTCTCATTGCATTTAAACTCTGTAACTGACTTGTGCTTGTTATCTGCCCATCCAAATCTAATTGCAGACTTGGACCCTGAGGTAATAGCAATATGCTTACTTTTATTGCCATCTGCACATGGAGCCAATGCCCTGCATTTACAGTTAAGGCAAAGTTTGCCTGATAAAAATCTTGAGCTCAATGGAGCAGACAATGTATTCCCTCACACCACTCAAGGCACATATAATTCTGGGGGGTTTCAGGAGAACATGAATATCTGAGGGCTAAACATACACATATGGCTTTACTAAAATGAGTTTAAGGATGAGACAAACAGATGGAAATTTTTGTTCTGTCTCTTCAGGCTGCAGGTCAAGCTACAGGCAGCAACCAAAGTCAGCATTTCAACAGCTCACCGGATTAAAACCCATCTATGCCTGAAAAATTCACTGCCATGGTAAATGAAAATGGTTTTCCAGAAAAGCTCTCTTTGTAGATACTTGATGTTACACTCAGTATTCCTGTAACATTTCATCTTTCATTAAACAGCTGTGTAATGAATTTTACAGTTTGGGAAGGAAGGTAAGAATGAACTTGGACATGAAAAGAAATTTTTCAGTCTCACCTTGAAGGCTGTTCATCTTCTGTTTTCTTCTCATTTGAGACACCGGGAGCCATGTATGAACCTAGAATTATATTTTAAAATAATTTGCTATAAATGCATTAGAACAGTCCCATCTTTAAAGCTAGCATCAGAACAGTCTCATCTTTAAAGCTAGCATCATTAATGTTGATAGAAACCCCCTACATAGACGACACTGTCACAAATACCAAAACAAACAAACACAAAAAAACAATTCCGCCACACTAAAGCTTTTAGAACTGTGGCAAAATGAGCACCCGCTGTTTGCATGGCTGACCACCCCCCCTTGCCCTCCTTCTGAAACAATCCCCACCTGACCACTGCTTCTGTTGTCCAACAGCACCTGCCTTACTGCCGGAGAGAGGTACTTGTGAGGGCTCTGACTGTTCCTCCCGCAGTGGCTCCTTTCTGCGATGGCTCTGGCCGGTCCCCGCAGCTCCTCTCTAGATGTCATACGCCTGAAACATGAGTTCCAGGGAACCTCTTACTCATCATCTCCTCTTCCCGAAGCTCCTCCTCGTAACCCTAACAGCACTTCTATCTGTGCCTCCCGCAGCGTGAAGGCGACCAAACACGAGTTCCCAGAAATAACAGCGCTCCTATCCCTCGCTCATCCCTTTTTCTAATCCATTACCCTAACCTACACGAAATAAATGCATAAATAAAGAAGATGCTCCCTTCTGTGCTTTCTGTAAATGTATCGCGGGGCTCTGGTACCGATACAATGACAGAACTGTACATACAGAATGAATCATCTGCTATCATCTTCAGCAGTGACTACGTGCAAAGCTAGCTCTATCAGGGGATGCCCTTTCCAGGAAAACCCGAGTGACAAAGCCTTCCTCCTCCCACTCCTTACAACCGCACGGAGTTACTACGACGAAACGGAAAGCACCCCGTTCTGCAACAGAATTACGAAAGGGATGCATTTGGAAAGAGTCGAGAAAGAACCGGCTGAGAGAAAACTGAAGGCTGCACGTTAAAAGCCACCGAAATAAAGGAAATGTATAAAAATTCATAAAGCATGGTTAATCTCCCTCATTTAAAACAATAAACTCATACGTTCACTTCCGCACGAGACGGGAGGTAACGCTCACAACCCCGCTCAGCCCGGCATCCTTACGGCGGCGCAACGGGGGCGACGGCAGCGGAGCACCGCGCTCGTTCCGGCGGGACGCGCGGACCCCGCGCCCGCCTGTGCCGCCCCCTCGTGCGGCGGTCTCACCTGGGCGCCACGGGGCAGCGAACACCACGCGGAGCGCTCCCACAGACCCAGCCGTGCCGCACCGCGCGCTCCCCGCCGCCTCCCGGCTCCGGCAGCGCTGCTGGGCTGGGCCGCCCCGCCCCGAAGGAGCGCGGCACCGGGTGCGGTTAACTCCCTGCGCGCCGGCTTAGCGGGGTTCGGGGCCGGCTGAGCGGTTGCGGGGGTGGCCGAGGTGTCCTGCGGCTGTTCCTCGGCTCTCTGCCTCGAGGCTGCGGGTTCAGCACAGCTCCCTCAGCCTTTCTTCATAAGAGAGATGCTCCAGCTCTCTGACCATCCTTACGCCCCTCCTCTGGACTCACTCACACCCTGTTCCACATCTTGTTCTGGAGGCCCCGGACCTGGATGCAGTACTCCAGATGGAACCTCACAAGGGCAGAGCATAGAGCATAGTGGGGACAACCCTCCCTCTCCCGCTACCCTCCACCCCTTCCTCTTTTGGTGCAGTCCATTTGCCCTTCCAGACTGCAGGTGCACACTGTGGGCTCATGCCCAGCTTTTCATCCACCAGAACCCCCAAGTTCATTCCCACAGGTCTGCTCCCAATTAGTTCTTCTCCCAGTCTGTACTCATATCTGGGATTGCTTTGACCCAAGTGCAACAGCTTGCGTTTGGTCTTGTTGAATTTCATTATGTTCATGTCGGCCCACATTTCAAGCATGTCCAGATATCTTTGGGTAGCATCCCTTCCTTCTGTTGTGCACCGCTCAGCTTGGTGTCATCAGCAAACCTGCTGAAGGTGCACTGAGTCCTACTATGACATTGATAAAAATACTGTGAAGAGCACCAGCTCCAAGACATGGCAGTGATGCGTCCAGCCATGATGCAGGAAACAAGGCATTCCCTGGCCTCTTATCACCAGGTAGAAGGAGGGAACTCGAGATACAGGGGGAGACAGAAGCAGATAGAAGAAAAGACAGAAGGTAAAGATAGGTTTCTGCTCAGGGCGGCAGCTGAATCCCCTCCCTGCCTACCCCACCCTCTGAGATGCCCTTATACAACAGATATGAGGCTCAGGAACTTGATGGACAGGCAAACAGTGGTGTAGATGAAGGTCCATCCAGGCTGGAGGGGTCACCCAGGGCAAGTCAGCCTGTCCCCTACATCACAACCACCTCTGTCACAAAGAAAAGAAGGGTTGTTGTCATAGGCATCTCCCTTCTGAGGAGAATAGAAGGTTTGATATGCTGACCAGAGCAAACCCATAGGGAAGTTTGCTGCCTCCCTGGGGCCCAGGTAAAAGACATCACTAGAAAACTCGCTAGCTTAGTACACCCCTCTATTATTAGTTTTTCATGTCAGCAAATGAGGTACAAGAAGTCCCAGGGCGATCCAAAGAGAGTTTGGGACCTTGGTGCAACTGTCTAAAGCAATGGGGGGCGGGTAGTATTTTCCTTTACCCTTTCAGTAGAAGAGAACAATACTGAACAGGCAGATCCAATTGATACATGTGAGGCTTCGATGCTGGTGTAACCAACAGAATTTGAGTTTTTTCTTCACAGGATTGTCTATGCAACACCTGGTCTGCAGGGACCTGACTGGATGTACCTTTCTCAGAAGGGGGAAAGGGTTCTTGCACAGAAGTTACTGGGGCTTTAAACTAGATTCGAAGAGGGAAAAAGATAAAAATAGGCTTGGCAGTGATGAGCTATGGGATGACATGCCAAACTTCAAGAGTGTGGCAGTGAGATCCCTCAGTCTGTTCCACAAGGTGCTGGGTGCAACAAAGCACATTTGAAATGTTTCTACATGAATGCACGTAGCATGAGGAACAAGCAAGAGGAGCTAGAAGCCTTGGCTCAGTCCCAACAACATCATTGGCATAAGTGAAACCTGGTGGGAAGAGTCCCATGTCATGATGGATGACTTGTGTGTCATTCTGGGCCTTCAGCAGGGACAGGCAGGGCAGGGGCTGGTGCTGTGTGTGAGGGAGAAGCTGGTTACAGAGCTCATAGTTGGTGATGACACGGTTGAGAAACTCTGGTTAAGGATTAAGAGACAAGCAAATAAAGCAGATGTCACTGGGCGAGTCTACTGTGGACTGCCCAGCAAGGATGACAACACTGATGAATTATTCTTTAAGGAACTATGCAAGACTTCTAGATGAAACCACCCTTGTTCTTATGAGAGACTGCTCTGAAAGTAATGCCTCCTATTTAAGGTGTTGCCCCACAATGTCAGAGGCAGATACTGATGGTATGGCAGTAGAGGTTGAACTTTCCTGCCAATATTATATTACATTTTATTGCTGTGTGACAGATAGACAGGCAACAGAGGGGCAGTCTGATAGAATGGTGTCTGACAAGGAAGTGCATATGAAGCAAAGGTGTGTCATCAAATTCCTCCATGCAGAAAAAACAGCACCTACTGACATTCACTGACACTTGCTGAATGTTTATGGAGAACAAACAGTGGATGTGAGTACAGTGAGGTGGTTGGAGGTGCATTTCAGCAGTGGCAACAGCAGGTCACTTCCACTGATGCAGAATTTTACAACAGCAGCATGCAGGCTCCTGAACATCACTGATGAAAATGCATAGTTAATGGTGGAGACTGTGTTGAAAAACAGTGCTTTGTAGCCAAGAATTTGCTCCATAAAATAGTGCTCTTTCTACCTGTTATAGTTTCCACAGAACTAAACAGGAGGCATTACTTTCAGAGTAACCTATCTAGGTTTGTTACTTGTAAAGAGAGAGGGTCTCACAGATGGAGGAGTGATTGTAGAAAGCCTTAGTCATAGTGATCATGAAGCAGCTGATATTTAAATCTTTGGAGAAAAGAGAAAAATTGCCACCAAAACTTCAGTTCTGGATATAAGGAGAGCAGATTTCAGATTGCTCAGGGAACTAATAAGTGAGGTCCCCTGGAAAATAGCTTTTGAAGGCACTGGGACCTATCAGTGCTTCTCACTTTTTAATTACAACCTCTTGAGAGCACAGGAAGAGGCAATTCCAAAATGTTGGAAGACAAGCAGGCAGGACAGAAGGCTAGTATGGATAAATAGGGTTCTTCTAGAACTTAGGTAGAAAAAGAAAGTCTATGAACTGCTGGCAGCAAGGTCAGAAGACTATGGAGATGCCATCTGCCATTGTAAGGAGAAAATCTGTGCAGCCTAGACTGAGCTATGTTGGAGTTGAAGCTGGTCAGTATACAGTAGTGGACAACAGAAAGAGTTTCTAAACTGTGTTAATAGTAAACAGAGGAACAGAGATAATATTGGTTTTGCCTCTGCCTTTAACACCCATGATAGGCTTAATTCTACAGGATTAATTCTGCATCTTTTTCAACTGAAATCTGCATGTTCAATGCAGACATGAGTTTTCAAGAAACAGATATGCTGAAATCAATGATATTACAGATGCTTAAGAAATAAATGAACCAATTCAATTTTTTATTCTTTTTTCATTGCAGTACAAAATAAAAGGGGTTTATATTTAAACTAGTCTAAAAAATGGAAGAAATAAGATGATGTATATATTCAGTCACTTTACAATGAGAATAGCCTTTAGATGTTCCTACCGTTAAGTGGCTGCATGTAAAAGGAAAGTTATTCTTCATGCATCTAAACTGCGAAATTATTTTTAAATCTCAATCTGGAATTAAAAGTATTCACATATTCAGTACACTTGGATATAACTCATAAAATGTAATTGCACTTTTGTTTTATTTTAGGTCTTGCAAAGCAATCAGTATGAAAAAAAAAATGAAATTATGTCACTTATTAAAGATATTCAGCTCAGAGATGAAGCACAATACAGCTAAGTAAATGTTCCAGCATTTAAAACAAGTAATGCTAGATTTTTGTGAGTGAGTGCCCAGCTTTTTACATCAGCAGCTCTCTGAAAGCGCTTCCAAAATTAATAACTTCCACTGCTATAAAATGCAACTGCTGATGACTTTGAAAACTTAGCCATTGCGTGACTGTGTTGACTGTAAAGCAAACAAAATAACACAATTAGTGAAATAAGCTGAACTTGAGTAAACTTCTCCACCTGTGAATTCATTTGGAACTTCCTGATTTGTTACACTACTTTCATTTGATGCTTATTGAAAAACTTGTGAATTTTGTTGTTGCTGCAGCTTTCCATTATTCTGAACATGCAAACACAAATTCCAGGGCTTGCCACCTGCTTTTATAAGAAGAAATCTTAGTTTCCAACAGCACTTCAGGTTGTTAATATTTTAACTCATGATATTCAAACTGATCAGTGAAGACTCAGTTGGTTGACTGTGCATAGCAAACTCCTCCTTGGCCTGACAAGGAAAGCTGAGTATACATTAATGGTACACTAAGGAAACTTATGAGAATTTGAGGAATGTTCTCTGGGCAATACCTAATGGGATGCAAGATAAGAAGAGATCATTTTAAAAATAGGATATGGCTTACACTTTTAAAAGAAAAACCACCAAGAAAAGATTTTGCTGCCTCACTGTTAAACAATTTAACACAAGAGCTTAATCATCTCCCCATTTCTCCCTTCTTTTACATTTTTAAGCAGTAAAGCATTTCTAGTGAGTTAACTGAAAGCAGTATCTGTAAAAAATTTTCTCCTACAATTGGAATATCAAAGTATGATGAAAAGCAGTAATACTGCTGATAGTTCACTAATTTAAATTATGCTACAAAGATTCTCAAGCTGTATTCTTTTTAATGTTGCAGTTTATCATTGGTGGGAACAAGAAGCCCAACTTCATAATACATTTTTATAGGTGATAAAAATAAAAATAGTAACCAAAGGCTGCATTAAGTGAATACAACTGAATTGCTGGAATAAGTATATTCATATGACTCAATAATTCTGAAAAAAATACTGAAATGGTACTTATTTTTCCCAGAACATCAAGCAACTACTCATGTTTATTGCCCTTTGTGAGAAAATAAATATACATAGCTGAAATCCCAAGGGTATTAACAATTTGCCTGTTATGCATACACAGTTTTTTCACACAGGCTTATTCCTTAGTGCCCGTCTATAATAAGAGAGTTTTTCCACTGGTAAGGTTTCAACCCCATAAGCTCCAGCTCTGACATCCCCTGGTACTGTAGCCTAAAAAATTATATTAAAAACTCTGCTACAAGACTAAAATTAAAGGTTTCAAATGTCTGAACATAATCCACAGAACAATTTTTTTTTTTTTTTTAAGTTAAATCTAACTTAAAATTGTGTTTCTTTTATTTCCCCATCTCAGATGAAGCTTCATGTACCTTAAACTTTTTACATTTGGAAAATTTTGCCAACCTGCCAGTAACTGTGCATTAAGCCATTTTCATATGTTTTTCTTTTTCGTTGTTTAGCATTGGTGTGGCTTCACCTTGAGTATTGTGTGCACCTCTGGGCTCCACAATGTAAGAAGAATGTTAAGGTCCTTGGGAGCATAACCATGGAACCATAAACAATGCTTGTGAAAAGGCTGAAAGCCACATCTCATGTGGAGTGCATGAGGACACTGGGTTTGTCTAGCCTGGAGAAAAGAAGGATGAGAGACAACCTCACTGGTTTTTACAACTTCATGAGGAGGGGAAATGGAAGAGGAAACGTCAGTCCTCACTGGTCACCAATGGAAGGAGGCACAAAACAGCAGAAAGTTGTGCCAGAGGGATTCCAACTGAACATGAGGAAAACCACCTTCACTGAGAAGGTGGTCAAACACAAACAGCTTCCCAAGGGTTGATGTCCCATGCCTGTTAGTGCTCAAAAGGAATTTGGACAATGCTTTCAGTGGCACGCTTTCCCTCCAACAAAACTGGTCTATTCCATGCACTGTTCAGATAAATGAAATTTCAGTAAAACATTTTAAAATCTTCAGCTCTTGGATTTGGAGGTGTACAATGTAATGAGTGCACTCAAAAACATAAAAGTACAATTTCATTTATGAAAAACTTTACTTTTTATAGCATAAGCAAAAATATCTTACTGAAACTGGATCAACTTTCTAATGGTTTTTATTATAAAGCATTTAATTTTTCATAGAATGTAAGGTTATGTTCTTTTGTCTGTTTGAACTAGAACAAGAGTTAACATGTCAATAAGTGTATTTCAGAATTCTTAAATAATTTAATTGTTTTTTTCAAAGTACAAATTGTTTTATTGTTTTGAGTAAACACAAGTATCTAGCATATAATATGTCTGTTGCATTCAGAATTCAGGATAAATATACATTTTTAACTTAAAAGGCTGAATGTATAAATATGTGTAACTTAGCCCATGCCACTGTTAGCCTACTGATGCGTCTCCTTTAAGATTAGTCTATAATAGGAAATGCCAACAGGTCTGGTGTAGAAGACAACTTCAGTTTTTCTTTATATATATTAAGTAAAAAAATCTAGGTATCTGTACTAGCAGCTTTTCTTTAAAGTTTGCTGTAATCAATCACAATGATGTTCATCCATGTTATAAATCAGCTGAACTACAATCAGGGATGAGTTCAACTATAAATGCAAACAAATGAGATAAAAGTAATCAAGCAAAGATGTAAATAGTGGACTTTATCATAAGCTATATAATACCTTACTTTCCCCAATAGCCTTTCTAATTACTGTTTACACTCCTGAAATTGTGGCTTCTATTCATTGCTTGCAGGTGCTGATTCAGACTGTGATGGCTCTGAATCTGCAATAAAAACAGATTAAAGTACTTATGATAACTTCAACCTTAAGAATAAAAAGGTCAACTAACATTCACTTTCTCTCTCACTTACATCAAAATACATATAAATTTCTGTACTTTAACCTAAGAACATAGAAAAGCTATATGCAAAGTTTGCAGTATGATGCAAAATTATAACAACACAAATGAGTTATGAATTTCTATATGCAGTGGTTTATCTCTCCTGTCTGATGTGTCTTGGACTTACACTATGAAGCAGACAACAGAAAAAGCTTCACCTCAACTATAAACTGCAAGATGCTCATGCTGTTGATAACTTTGAATAAGCAGATAAAAGTACTCAGGTGTGAAGAAATTAAAAGCACTTCCTTCAGTGCACACCTGAAGGCATGAAGAGAATAACATCAAAACTGAATTGAGATACATGATTGGAAGAAACCATACTGTTTAAAGCATTAAGAACCCTCTCTTTGCATTGAAATAAGAAAAGGACTGAAAGATCATGGCAGTATTTTTTTCAGTTTGTTGGGGGAAAAAAAAAAGAGCACCCTGAAAATATCAAATATCTATATGTCAAAGTATATAGCATAATGACTTTTCATCAGTCTTTACAGTATATCCATCGTTTTGTTCTCTGTGTGTTAGTATTATGACCAAACCAATATTATTACTGCAAAAATCTTCAGTTTTCTTTATATCCCAAGTGTTCGATTTAAGGCACACTCCACAATAAGCAAATCAATTGTCACAAAACAAATGAATTTGCAGGTTTCAAAAATCCCAAGTCCTTTCATTTTATTCACAATTAATGGCAAATTCAGTAGGAAAAGTGTCAGTGTGCAAAAACATTACATAGAACCTCAAGACAAAAAGAGGAAATATGCAAGGTTTGGATTAATGCTAAGAAAGATCACTTTGCAGCTTATAACTGAACTCTTAGGTCTTTATTCCTCCCAGTACAGCAACTTTATGTGCTTAGATATTGGATATGCAAGATGAGTTTGAAAAGCAGCTTCTCAGGTTATATACCCAATTTCAGGTCCAGTCTGAGATCTGATTTCATCCCCTAGTTTTGTAGCAGCTTTTCATCTAAACAGTAGCATGAAGAAATACAGAATCATAGAATTATCTAGCTTGGAAAAGACTTCTGAGATCATGAAGTCCAATGATTGTGTAACTACTAAGTGCAGCACTAAACCACGTCCCTAAGCACCACATCTACACGTTTCTTAAATAGTTCCAGAGACGGTGACTCCACCACCCATTTGGGCAGCCAGTCTCTAACCTTCTTCTCCATGAAGAAGGAAAAGTTTGTGCTCCCCTGGCACAAACTTCAGGCTGTTTCCTTGAGTCCTACCACTCATCACCTGAGAAAAGAGACCAACACACACCTCACTACAACCTTCTTTCAGGTAGTTGCAGAGAGCATTGGGGTGCCCCTCAGCCTCTTGTCCAGACTAAGCAACCTCTGTTCCTTCAGTTTCTTGTCATGTGTCTTGTTTTCCAGTCCCTTCACCAGCTGCATTGCTCTTCTCTGAACACATTCCAGAAACTCAGTATATTTCTTGCAATGAAAAGCCCAAAACTGAGCATAGTATTTGAGGTGCAATATATATGTAATATTACGTATATGTTCATGTTTACATATTAGGCAAAATTACTGCAAATATGTTATTTTTAATATGAATGGAAGACAAAAAAGTTTATTCAGGGGGCTCCAAGCGTCAAAGAAACTAAACTCACTGATCACTAAGCCTTCCACACACTGATAAACAAGTTCAAGAAAGCCATCAATCCATAGCGTATACACAAGTATAAGCAACAAGTTTTCAAGAAGAAGGACTATTTTACCTTTTAGCCTTTATTTCCAATTGTTTTGGAAGAGATGTACTTCATAGCTACCACTATTGTGTGTGATAATAAATAAGCACCAGATTATTTTTTAATCCAATAAAACCATTGGAAAGCCAAGTTATTTAATCATGTGGATACATTTGTTTTTATGAATTATTATAAAAAGTGATCTATTTCATAAACTCATGTGTTGATGACAACTGTAACAAAGTTTTCAGAAAAAAAAAAAAGTAGGGGCCAAGGACTATTCACAACAAATAGCAACTGTTTTACTGACTGCTTAACTTTAAGCAGGAAGATAGCTGTCTCTCTTCAGCATTTTACAAAAATATGCCAAACAGAAGCCCTTGGATTGGAACAGAACATACTTTTACAACAGCAGAATAAAAAAATACATTAAAGTCCCCACTTTTGCTGATTACAAACAGGAGGGCACGTTTTCTAAGCTGGCCATAGGGTACTATTGTAAGCCAAGCCTGGTGACTCACTAAGTCTCACCTTATTTAAAGAGAGAGACTGCAATTATTCTGGCTACCTATGGATCTTACCTTCAAATCCCAACTCACTTTAGAAGAGCAAGCTTTCAATAATTTTACCTTGGGACTTCTTGCTATCTTCTGATGTATCTTGAATCTTTTTTACACATCCACTATGTTGCAGAAGCCAGTCTGTCCCATAACCATTGCTGATTAATTTGCTAAAGTTTACTGGTTCACCTTTTCTCTGAGCAGGCCTGTAAATCAAAATGTGTTAAAAGAAAACAATAGTATAAGTAAACCAAAACAGTTGGGAAGGAAATTTATTTTGCACAGAATAGCCTTATATAATTGATAGGTAACTAATGGTAAATATCAGTAGGTTGCTCCAAAAGTAATGCTCCAATTATTTCCTTGGAAACTACAACAGATACACAGAGCACAGTAACACCTTGTTAGAGCAAATTCTCAGCTACAAGAATTTTTGCTGTGTCTGACCTTCTCTTAGAGTATAGCTGATGTGATTTCAGAAAATGGTAGTCCTACCTGCATCACTGTCATCTACGCTCATGGAATTAATGATGTACGTTATAGTTTGCATCTGCTCACCGGTACAAACAACTAAAGAACAGATCACTTTGAATGCAATAAAAGAGCGCTACATGAAGATGTTCTACCACACAATTGATGCCTACTTTTTCTAAAGCAAAGCATTTCTGATAGCTTTACCATACAAGTTAAATTCCCATTACTTTAGGTGCTTATAAAACTAGTTCAGTCCTAGTCAGCAAGTTTAGTAGCAATACAGATTCACAAAAGCCACTAACAAATCCCATAATCTCTGCAAGTTCAGACTAATGTTACCTGCACACACAAATGGTTTCAGGATTAGAAGATGAATGAATTTCATAAGCACTCTACTTACACTGGTGGAAAGGAAAGCTTATTTTTCCCACTGAATTCCTTGTTCATACAAACATTCGCTGTTCTGCTTGGATATTTAGCATTTATAGCTGGGAGCTTTACCTGTGTTAGAGAAATCTTAATTTAACAAAAGGAGCCATTATAAAAGTAACCAAGAGATGTCATAAGAGTTATATTAAAGGCCACAGCAATCTTAAAACTGTACTATCTTAGGAATGTTATTTCTAAAAGTAAGAGTAGAGGAATAAAAGGAAATAGCAAAAAACTAAAAAGCACCTTAGTTGGTTTTATTAGATGAGATCAGTTGTTGTCAAATATGTCAATTATGAGAAACATACTCATCCATGACCTTTTCCCTCACAGTCCACTTCCACCAAAAATTAGACTTTAAAAACAAACTTAGCAGCTGCAACCTGTCATCTCGATTCATTTCTCTGTATGCAATGTATGACAAAATCCCAATCTTACTGAGGTAAGTGGGACAAGAAACTAATGTCCAATTTAATGACTACCTTTTATTAAAAAAATAAATAAATCTCATACAATGGGATGAGAAAGCCATTGTTATATATTAATTTTAAGTGTACAGGGGAAAGCCTGTAACTGAAAAATATATTTTATTTCTATTCTTTCTTCGTTAATGACAGGCAAAGAAACTCAAAGTTGTCTACCAGCTACCAAATTTCACCTTTTTATTTTATTACATTGGGAATCTCAACAAGATATAAATATAAGAAGGTACCTAAAAAAAGTGACATCACAAACTTCAGGTGTCAGTGCTGTAGAACCAAAAAAGTAGTGCAAAAGCACTAACAACACACATCGAAGCTGTTTATTTCAACAGCATTCAAAACTAACAGCTGTCAAAGGGTCAACTTTCCTCTCAAATAAAAGCAGTACACATCAGAAATGTGAAAATAAAATTTGTCTTTAAGGGTTATGATTTAGTACAAC